ATGCTAATCCCATTGCTTTTACTTTAGATAAATTGAAGATGAGTCGTCATTCCACATATACTTCAGTCCTAGTAATATTAAGTTAAGTTCATTCATAATTACTGGTCTACAGCAAGTGTATTCAATCTGGAAAATTCAGAATCATCCACAACTCCAACGTCATCTGAAACCAGATTTTCCTATTCCTCGTTACTGGGGATGGGGGAAGCAGATTGCGTTTACTATTTTAAAATCAAATTGCTAATAATCCACGTTGCGGGTGAAATGGAACTCATCAGGAAAATGGTAGCATTGACTGGAGCTCAGCCACTGGAAAAAACATCTGGCGACAAACTGCACCTGCGCCACATACTTCTCAATATACCCTCGGCTCCATCCTAAGATCATCTCTACTAAACAGCACTCCATTTATTAGTCTAGGTGAGGAATTGAAATATCCTGTAGTGGAGTAAAGAGAAAATTCTCCTTCATCAGCCAAAATGTATTACTTTACACAAACTCTCTCCTTCCCCCCCACCAAGCAATGAGGTGGTGCAGGCAATGTGGACAAGATCACATAATAGCAGTTCTCCTCCCCTAATTGATCCGACTCGCAGTAAATTACATTCCAAACCTCGTCTCCCACCTATTTGGGAAAATGCTGATAAAAGCTCTACCAGGTGCTTGAACAATGATTTCTCAGTCCCCAGCACCAAGGTCTTGTGCTTTCTAAAGACCTTTCCTAACCACAGATTGCTGTTGCCACAGTTCAAGATAACTGCTTTAACATCCAGTAAACAAAGACATTGATTTATAAGCTTCAACTGCCTTTCTGACCCAAGAAAGGTCAAGTTGGCTACAATAAATTCAAATGTTTTCCTTTTGTTGCCACAGCAACATCAAACTGCCTTTGTAATTTTAACTTTGAATAACTGATCATTGTAAACTAATTTTGTTACAAAACTTAAAAGATGTTTTTTAAAAAAATAAGCTATTATGTAAATAGATTTACATTAAAACTGCAGAGATTAAGTCATGTACGTTTTGTGAATTTAAACCAGCCTTAAGAGCACAGTTGGCTAATGTAAACGCTGGATAACTCGTCACTCCAAGGGAAAACAGTTCAGAGGCTAGTTATGTGTAGTGACTAGTTAAACATAGGTCCTCCCGGGCCACAAGGGGGCGCTGTGACTGGTGCCAGTGCTTGGCAGAGGTTGGGAGCGCATGCTCAGATGTATCATAGATAACATTTAAGCAGAAGCTAGATAGGTACATGAGGGAGAAAAGAATAGAAAGAAGATTATGCTGATAGGCTTAGTTGAGAAAGGGCAGGAGGAAGGTCATGTGGAGCATAAATTCTGGCATTGACCGATTGGCCTGTTTCTGTGCTGTATGTTATATGTAATTCTATGTAATCACAAAGGCCTTTGGTCTATTGGAGGACCGTGCCATGGCGTCCCACCCTCTCTGGTTTATTGGAGGGCTGCACCTTCAGCCCCCGACCGATCCTGTAACAGTATAGAGCAGGAGGCCATGGCCCAGCCCTCCATTAGACCTGGGGTCTTTGCGATGCATTGATGCATGTGCTCCCAACCTCCGCGAGCGCCCTCACCAGTCACACGATAGAGCGGGTTGCAAGACACCATCTTATAGGATGAGTTATCCAATCCATTTTACCTGACAAGAATTTCTAGAATGTTAGTGGTTACATGTATGGTGGAGTGACGATTAAAGCAAAGTTCTTATTATTATTATTTTGCACAGCTAGTGACGGGATATTAACAGCATGGTGACTAAGCCAGGGTTGAGTTATCCAGAGTTTACTGTACATTCTTTAAACGGTTAGTTTAAGCTCTTTGAGGCTATGAATTTAAAATACATTTGTACCATTAACATCAATTTAAAATAATGATCAAGGGAGCAAAGGGGGAAGATTAGGAGAATTTTTTGTCACAGGTTGTTAAGATGTGGGAGTGGTCGAGGCAGAATCCATATTAACTTTGGCGATATCTGGAAAGGAATAATTTACAGTATTATGGAGACGAGGCAAGTATTGTTTCTTCGGGTTCTGTTTCCAACACATCGACTGGTGTACAAGAGGCCCCTCTCCCCAACCCCAACACCCCCCACCCCAGCACCTACTTCAACAGTTGTGTGCAAGAAGACACTGGACTTCAGATTGGCAAAATACTGCCTTACAGAAACAAAGTCAGAATAAAGGCAGCAATAACAGATAGTCCAATGCCGCAATGACAGTCTAATGCGGATGATGTCACCAAGGGGGAGTATGTAGAGGATGAAACCAGTCATCAAATTATAACTGGTTTTAAAGTCGCTGTTCTGGATACTGTAACCTAAAGTATTGTAAACGTTTTTTTCACTTTCCTGTGCCTTTCTCTTCTCGATGACATTAAGGTGTTATATCAAATGCAAGGATTATTATTATCCACCCACTTGTCTAACAACGTGCATATTTTCACTGGTCCTGAACTAAGCTATAAACCCCCAGGCCGAGAAGTGAAATGCTTGTAATCCTAAACAGGTGTAATGCACGTCACAGCAGGCTTCTTGGACATTACATTAGAAAGGGTGTTGGGGGAGGAAAAAAAGAGTTTGTGAATCGCTTACAGCACTCCTGGAAGCCTCAACAACAACTTGCATTAACGCAGCGCTCTTCATGTGGGATTGCGTTTCAGAGCACCGAACAATGGAGTTTGACACCGAGAAAAGGGAGGTTACCGTAGGCACGGTCAAAGAGGACGTTCAATTAGCAGAGGGGTGGGGGGTGCAGAAGGCCAGCTGGTATGTTAAATGTCATAAGGTTTCTATTTGGACACGCATTGCAAAATGTACTCCATCATTATAATCTTTGCTGGTAAGAAATGAACTGAATGGCAGAGCAATTATTTTGCCCACAAAACATATAATCAATTCACTTTACACCATAAACAAAACGCAAAATACTGCAGATGCTGGAAATCTGAAACAAAAACAGAAGTCGCTGGGAACACTCAGCAGGTCAGGCAGCATCTATGGAGAAAGGAAAGTGAGTCAATGTTTCGGATCTACGATCCTTCAGCAGAACTGGGGCATGTAAAGAGTTAAATTGCCACCCGTTATGCTAATATTAATATATCATTGAGAAATCTAATGCTACGCAGTCAATAATTGGAGACGACATGTTCATAAATGTGACCGCCCCCACCACCCCCAACAACGAATTGACACAACGGTGCAGCTCAAATCCAGTTCAGAATTAACACCTCTTTAACCCATCATCCCGTCCTGTACCCGTCTTCGTCTTCCTTGCCCTGCCCCCCCCCCCACCACCCTCTGTTAGTCTTTAAAAGCCTCTTCCTCTCCCAACATGCCGCAGTTGACGAAGGGTTGTGGACCTAAAACGTTGACTCACTTTCCTTTCTCCATAGATGCTGCCTGACCTGCTGAGTGTTCCCAGCGACTTCTGTTTTGTTTCACTTTACAGCATATTCTGTGAAGCGCTTTGAGAAGTCTAGAAGACGTGATAAGGCGCTTTATCAAATGGAAGGATTATTAATTTTTGACATATTTTCCCTCCCCATCAAAACCTCTTACACACTCTGGCACCTTTGCTTTCCATGAACACACCGTCGTTAGTGGTGATAGGTGGCGTCGTGTTATTCAACACAGACAATAGGGGTTCAAGAACCAATCACTCCCCACGTGAATTATCGTGATAGTCAAATATGTGTAGAACAGTTGAGCTAATATTTAACAAGGCAGATTACTGTCTAATGCCAGTCAAATCAGTTTCTTTTAAAAAACTGGCAAAACAGTTCATACTTATACTGGTAGCTTGGCCTCTATTCCAGTTTTGATGTTGATGAATGCGATAACGTTTAAGTTGTGGAATGCATGAAGAAGCCAAAATACTCACTGATCAGTGTGGTGTATAGATTTGCTTTTGTAATTTGGAGGTAGATGGGATTTAATGACTTCAAATTCCTGGATGATACTCACCTCTTAGAACATTTCTAAATGGAAATCACCTCATGGGCTGAAAATTGCCACCCGTCATACTAATGTTAATATATCATTGAGAAATCTAATTCTACGCAATCAATAATTGGAGACATTGATGTGTTCATAAACGTGACCCCCCCACCCATGAATTGACTGAACGGTTCAGCCCAAATCCAGTTCACAGAATTAAACTGCAAACTATGAACTCGAATTATAGCTGGTATTTTACGAGTCGGAAAATCCTGTGCGCGAGTTGAAGCCGTGACAACTTGTAGCACAAACTCATTCCCCCTCCCCTAGATTATAAATAAATCTCGAATTTCTAGCAGATTATAAATAAATCATAGTCCATTCCCTCTGATGAGAACATCACATATTTTGTCATTTCCAGACTCAACTTCTCCCAGCATTCTGCTCACCTGGCCTTTCGAGTTCTGTGCTCCACCAGCGCCAATCACGCCAATCCAGAACTCAGCAGCCCACATTCCCCAACACCTTGATCCTCACCTGCTTCCAGTCTCCCTCGTCCCCAGCAAAATCCAACTTAAGATCCTGGTTCTTGCCTCCAAATGGTTCCACAGCCTTGCCCCTCTAATTATCAGTGGTGCTACTACCCCACCCCCTCCATTCAGCCTAAACCTCTTTCTTTGACACGTTTGATGTGTGAAAATTTTACGATTCCAAAGAGCGATTTCATTAGGGTATTTCATTTATATAATATATATATACATACACACACAGAAAGAGAGTTCACAGATTTTGTGCATGATATTGAGCGCTATAAAATGCTGGCTGATTAGTTAGGATATTGATTTGGTACATTTCCACAATCCAAACTATTTACACGATCAGTTTCTGAGAATCTTTAATGTAAATCATTTCAATTTCAACTTAGCTAACACATTTTCATGTTGTAACCCCTCGCAAACAGCAACTCGGATGCATTTTAAAATCCAGTGTTACTTACTGTTGTCAGATCAGAATAAGCTGAACCCAAACAATTAAAATTCCATCCAAGGTTTATGTTTTTGCAAAAGTGCATGTATTTTATTTCTTCAAAATATGTATGCAACACTCATATTAAATACAAAGTATGTTACAATTTGTACATTGACATTCAGTAAAACAGATGTCATAACTTACTACTTATAGTATGATAGGTATCACTTGTGTACATCTGATGTGCTTTAAATTCCCTGATGCAATTATATTAGTCACCAATTGAAGTGAAACAATGCACCACAACTCATATCTGCACAAAAGAGCTGCCGAAGTGTAGGCAAATAATCTGACAGTACGCGTGATGCACAGTGCTTCTATTTGTTGGGCAATAATATCTGAAATCCTATTCATATACAACGATGAAATTTAATCTGCAGGTACAAAAGTTTACAACAAATGCTCTACAGGCAAGGTAAAATTCACCATTTTTTCCTTTCCAATGCAAAATATCAGTCCTCAATAGGATAACTGACCTCCACAGCACTTGGCAGGGCCAGCCCACTCCTATGTTGTAATACTGACTGTATACACTGAATTAATGTGAGGTTTCAATAATAAAACTGAATGAAATGAAAATTGAACTGAAGGCTAGTTTCTGTTAGTTGATTCACATAACCAGTTTGATGCTAAGAAAGAGGGCATACAGTAATTCCAACTAATCAAACACATAGAAACACAGTTTTCTTCTATTCAATGTCAACTGGTGCCACACACGATTCTGGGTAAAGAAAAGCAGTCCTATAAGAGAGGTAGCATAGCTTGACCAAAAAAAGACGAAAGCTACAAAACAAAGATGGTGATAACACAATAATGCACAAACTGACGAATTATGCTGAGTTCCATCCCCTAAAAGTTTGCATAAAGAGAAATTAATAGGGAAAAATTCTACAAATAGTAAGACAAAACTAAACATCAAAAAGACATAGTATGAATCTAGCAGAAGGTAGTCCATATTCTCTACTCTGTAATGTTTGATACCCAAGATCTACATTGTTAAACTTACTCTCAACCTGTCCATTGCTCCAAAATATTTACCATTCACACCAATCCAGTGATTTGTAAGGAACATGATAGAAAACTAACCTAAGACATACAACAGGTACTTTGGTATATTTCCTCCCCCGAACCTGGCTCTAACCTGTACAGGAGACCTTTTCCTAAAATGAAGGTTATATTTGTCTATAGATTAATAGTTTGGGAATGGCAATGGAATGCATTCTGGCAGTTTGAATGAGCATCTTGAGTTATCGTAATGATCACTGTCCATTTCTTACAATGAATAAATAGACCTAAATGTAATCCTGCATAAAGCTGCAGTAAACTACCCAAGAGGCCTGTCTTTAGAAAAGGAATTTCTTTTCTCACAATCCCTGTCACAGTGTGACTGTGAGTTACGCTGAGAAGTTGTATTCCATCCTCTTCTCTCACGATGCTGGGAGTCTCGGCTGTTGTCCTGGGAAGTAGGCAGACACTCTTGGTGGTGGATTTCCTGGTTTAGATACAGGTGGCCTAGTTGATACTAATTAAAACATATGAAAGGAAAAAGAAAGCAAAATAATTGGTCATGTTAGCCAATTTAATACCTAATTTTAGCAGGGCTTTATTATCAGTTTAAAACACCTTTATTTATTGCTCAAAACTAGCCTGAAGTTTTAACAAAAAAAATCATACTATCCTAATCTTATAATAATCCTTGCATTTGATACAGAGCCTTTCATGCCAGGAGGATGTTTCAAAAGTACTTCACAGGATTTACTATAAAGTGTATTGACTGTGCATTTTGTAGGTAAGCACAACAGCCATAACAGCTGCTGTGCCATGAAGTATTAGGGTACGTGTTTCTGCCCACGATTCCTTGATTTCAAGCATGCTGTTGGGGAACTTGTGAGCAGAGACTAGATGCTCCTGTCATAGGGAGAGAAGTCACCTTGAGCTGTGCTCACACCTCAAAATAGAACATTCACACATATAACCCTCAATACATAGACGTGGATACTTTCCACCCTTTAAGATGTGAATCTCTCCCTTATATTGTAGATATTGCATTGATACAACATATCGCAAACTGTAGGTACATCATTAACAAACAGTTCAAACAAAAATCAGAGTAAAGTCTGAAAGGAGTACTAATTTCTTTATATAAAAAAAGGACTTCACAGACATCTAAAATTATTGCTCTAAGGGGCAGAGGCTGAAATTAAATAATATGCACAAGACTGCAGTACCTATATTCAAATATATTACTACCTGCACTGGATGGATATGAAGCCATCTGAAGTGGCACGCCTTGAGTCAATACCGTATTACTGCCATCCCTCTTCTGCAAGTACTTCATGTCTAAGCCAACTGATTCCCTGAAACAAAGCAGGATTTTTTTCCCAATTAAATCAATCTGTCGTTAGTTACATCAAAGAGTTAGTCTACAGAATTATAAAAATACTTTATTTTCAAAGATTCTACTTTATCCAATTTTACAAAATGCAACATCAAACATAGTTATTTTCACATCCCTGAGAAAGTGGAGAACACAGCCTCCCCACCCCCCACCTTGCCTCCCCATTCTTTGGTTTACTGCTTTTCAATTCATGTTGAGGATGATAGGGATCTAAGGTGAACCACCTGTAACTGAACTTATCACTTTCTCCCCTTCAAACCGTCAATAGTCTCCTTATATGGTGAGATTTTTATTCCAGCAAATAAACTCACCAGAAGTTTCACTGTACAGCTTCCCTACAATTAGCAAAATCAGGCTCACAGCCAATATCTAATCCTCTGTAAATTTATCATGTGTTTCATCATTGTTCAAGGAGAGATAAAGACTGCCACACCTCCAGTATGACAGGTTACAGGGAGTAGCCAGCCCCATTGAGTTTGGGAATTGACTGATAATTCAGACCAGCCTGAGAGCCCATTAGATACTATCTGATTCTGAAAAAGTTCAATATTGACTGGTTATTCCTGTGTGTGTCAACAGATGGGCCCAGTGACAGTAAAGGAGGAGGGTTCCAGGTTTAATGTTAAAGTCAGGTTATTCACTATAGAGAAACTTTGCATTGATGAAGATTTATTAAATGTTTAATATGTGTGTGTATATATATGTCTAATGTATATCTAATGGAGGGCTTTGAAAAAAAACTCTACCATGACTTTATTTTAATGTTGGATTCCAACTATTTTTAAAGCCCTATCTGTAGAACAATTTATAAGGTTAGCATTTTAAATGGCCAATACAGAGTGCATTTTTAAGCTGGTTTATAATAACCTTTTTCCCAGGTCTCAGCCAAAAGTCTCAGCCAAAGGTTCCATTGTGCTAACCTCTATAAAAAAAACTCAATAAGATGAATTGCTGATAAGATGCATGTTGTTTGCCCCCCACAAGTTTACAGTAAGGTTTGACTATATTTACACACTCGACTGGAACGTAGAAGAAAGTTTCCCTATATATTTTATGTACTTGCATAAAGAATGCAGTTAAGAATTTGGTTTTACAAATGATAAATCAGTGATTTAAATTGAATGCAAGATACTAATCTACAAATTGTTTTTTACTAAATTAAGGAAAGAAAAACTTCAGTAGACCTTACAGGAATTAATTCCCTTGCTCTGTCAAACTATTGGTCGCTTGTTCTCCTGCAACCTTAGGTGAAATACTGCCTTTGCCATTACAATTTGAGCCATATAAAACCGTAAACAATCACGGTGAAATTACCAGTGAAATTAATATTCCAACTTCAAAATGGAACCTCTCCTGCACACATTATAAATGTACTCCAAACTCTAACATATCTTGGGGGTGCAGGAAAAAATGTTTTAAGGCTTTTAATTAATCTTTATATACTCTTAGAATGTAACCTACCTACAATCTTTTCATAAAGTTGTTTGTTTTAATGACTAGTTTAGGGCCTTTGATAGAGTACATGTGCTAATTAATACCATTTCATATTTTCGTGGAAAGATTTCACTCCTCTGACAACAATAAAGACTACAGTCTCCCTCAGACACCTGCTTATCTCAAGGCTGAGAAACGCGCAGGATGGAGAAGGCTGCCAAAACAAAAAAGGTGACCATCTCTCTTTCTCCCCATCAGTTCTTTCCCCATGGGAAAACAGCCTGCTCAAGGTCACTAGCAACTTAAGAAGGGTGGGGGCTTACTTCATTTTTTTCAAAGGAAAAACTAGAGACAAAGGAACTATCTTGCAAAAGATGAAATGGGTATAAGGTCATCTACCAACTGCATGAAGAGAAACCGATTCAGGAAGAGAATCAGAAGAGTCAGGGAGTTGGAACTTGGAATTACAAACCATACTGCAGCTTCTAAAGAAGGAAGATCAAGACTAAGATGGCAGTCAACAACTTTATTGACGTTCTCCAGTTGGCAGCAGTACAGTAGTATCTGGATAACTTTTGGGTGATCGAACAGGCAACAGTACAGCAGTACCCAGATACCTTTTGGTGGATTAAATTGGACATTACGCCTCCATCTCTTCTGCAACATTTGGTTTGGCCAACCTTAATCGTTGTGAACAGTACGTGGATATATAAGGATTATTCTGTTGTATTCTTTTAACTACCTATAACCATTAAATATAATCTTTTTAATGTAAGAGTTATGCCAGTCTTTACTTCACTGTAGAGTTAAAATTGACAAATGTTCTTTCCTCTTTAAGCTGCTGGGATACACTTCTATAGGTGTCACCTGCTTTCTGCAACTTGCTGAAGACAGCATGACTTCTTTAAAAAAAATTCTATCAAATATCTCCCAATGGCATATGCCTCCCTGCTGCTGGTTTGGTCTCCTCTTGCTGGGGTGCAGTTCCACAGGTTGTCTTACAATGGCGACTTGGCTGATTGTCTTACTCCATCCAAGAAGCCATCGTTCATATGTGGGGTTTGGCAGTGGCCATGACTCGACTGTAGAGGGCATCACAGCTGAGCCTAACCTCTCCTCACCACTTGCCATACATGCACGCAACCAGCTTGAGGCTAGACAGCAACCATCCTTCAGGAGTGTAAGGCTTTCTTGGCCATGCATAAGTAGAAAGCAGGACTACAGAGTACATATTTAGTTAAAAAATTATGTTCCTTCACAGTTGTGTAAAATTTATTACTAATAGCAATTTTCAGTTTCCAAATAAAATTGCAGGATTCTGTATGAAATGCAGAGGTAAAAATTGGGAAAATATGAATCGAGCCCCAAAGACAACATATACATTTTGTTTCCACACTTTTTTTTTGCAGTTTTGGGCCTGTTCTGGGCAGAATACAAAAAAGCAGCCATAATCACAAATTCTGATTTGCAATTTGTTGCAAAACCATTTCTCAGGAGAAAGCAAAAAAAAGTTATTAGTTCAGTGGCTTTGCAAACATCGGATTTTCCATATCATATGATTTGATTGTCAATCAATTGATTGTGAACTCTGAACAACTACAAAACAGATTGTAAAAATTACAGAGAAGCTACCCAGTTTTATAGACATTAAGTCTATAAAACTGGGTATAATCTTACAGTAGTCAATACATACATCTTTGTAGAGGCTGCTGTCATAGTTGGTGTCGAAGTCGAAGGGACTGCTTTGGAGTCACATACAGGAGAACTTGTGGAATTTGACACCATTGGATTAAAGTGCACCTATAAGATTTTCAGATCATCTGTCAAACAGTATCACTTCATTTTTGTTACAAAACCCACTTTGGTTCGTTCCATTTTACCATGTTAGGTGCAACTATTAATCGAAATGTATACTTTGCCAATCATTTCACACATGCTACAAAATTCAATGTATCAAAATTACTTTTTGTCAACTTTTAATAAATATTTACACAATGTAGCAACTTATATTAAAGCATCCCAAAGGAGTATATTCTTAAGTGCAGTAAAGGGTTGTTTAGCTAAACTCAGCAAGTAATCCCTACCAGCAATTCTTAACAATGAATGACAAAACATAACGTTTTTGGTGAATTTAGACAAGGGAGCAATACTGGCCATGAGACATCCCTGCTCCTTAAAATAGGCGAATTCTTTTCGAACATCCACTTGATCTAACAGAATAAACAGTCTTAACATTTACATCACTTCTTAACAAAGCAGAACTGCTTCACAGTACACTGCCAGCCTAGATTATGAACTCAAATCTTGGATATAGGGCTCAAACCTACAAACTTCGATTCCGACAGTTGTGTGTGCATTCAAGTGCTACTTTGGGATTTTGAGCTCATATTTGTCTACGGTAACACTACAACGCAATCCTGGAGGTGGGGTGCTTTGTTGGAAGTCCCGTCCTTCAGAGACAGTAAACCAGTGATTGGCAACCTGCGGCCCACGAGCTGGAAGTGGATTGTGGGGCCGTCATGAAGCACCCTGCCCTGAACAGTCGCATGATGTTTTATTGGCTGACCATAAAGGTTGGCCACCACTGGGTTAAACCAATGTCCTGTCTACCTGTTCAGATAGAAATTAAAGATCCTAGGAGATTATTCAAAGAGAAAAGCTAGTTTTTCCCAGTGTCCTCGCCAACAATCACCCAAATAAAATTGTTGAATCATTTCATGGCAGTTTGTGGGTATTGCTGCAAGCAAAGTGTCTGCCAGGTTTGCCGACAAAATACATAGTTACTGCACTTTAAAGAATATACTGTCAAGTGCTTTGAGATGTTCTAAAAGATGCCATATCAAATCCAAGGATTAATTATGATTATTAATACGGTTTGAAACAATTTAATACACTTCAGCACATTTAAGGGTTTGATTGACATGACAGAAAAGGATGAATAATAGTTTATAAAAAAAATGTAAAAATAGCCTGCCTGCAGACCACGTCCTGGCACACGAGGAATCAGGGATGCAGTATTCGTTCGTATAGTAGGAACAAAGATCTTAGAATAATTATCTGAAGCCAAAGCAGAAGAGACAGGATGCGGCATTGGGAGAGAGAAAGGAGTGCTGTACAGAGCCTGCTGAAAAATGAAAAGCAATATCCATACATTACTGGCAATTAACATATGTGATCTTTGAAAACCACAACACTTTCACAATTGCAAAATACTAGCATTAAATACCCATTAACTGTAATTGATCTTTGTGCAGCATTTTTAATCTAAATAAAGTCCGGATAGAATTCTCACCCATGAGCTAGAATCGGGGGGAGGGGGAAAATAATTCCACTCAAATTCTGAGTATTTAGATTTTTCAAAATAAAATTTAAGTATGTTTGGTTAGGTGTAAAACAATCTGGCTCAGCATCTTTTCTTGGGAAGGAGGCAGGGGAATAATTAACAGGGTTTCTGTTCCTGATTCCCAGCGCCTTGGGACATCCTCCCGACGTGAAAGGCGTTATACAAGTGGAATCTTGTTGTTGTCGTTGATTGGTCAGGTGCCCCTCATACATAAACAGTCATTGGGAAATAATGAGCTTGAAAAAGTTCACAAATGGATTCACTAATAGCTACTCAGATTCACTTACAGGGATCCCTGGCAGTATCTGGGTTAGCAGTATGTCACAGCCAAACTTAGGCTACAATTCCACAGGTACCAACCACCCTCCACTTCTGCCAAATGACCATTACTCATGTGATACTAGACCGTGAAAATTGGCAGAATAACAACAACTTGTATTTATATAACGCCCTTCCGTGGGGTTGCGTCTGGAGAGCTTCTTCAATGTTCCAGCAGGAGTCACTGGATGATGATCAGGAATCAGAACCAAGGCAAATTATCTCTCCTGCTCTCTCAACTCCCCCTCTCTCCAAGTCCATTAGGAAGAATATTCAACTATGTCTCTTTACGACTCAGCCCAATATGTCCTCACCTGTCATCTACATACTCGCTTCCATGAGGGGTTTTCATATCTACCAGGAGCAGGCACCCTGGCTGATATCCCTCTCTGAAACCAGGGCTGCTTAAACCAATTGGCAAGTCCTGAAGCTCTTAAACCAAACAGATCAGGAATGTCCTAGTTTCCATCTCCAATTTATTCTGAGTTATCTAATCTTTGTTGGACAATCTAAGAGCACATTTCAATCAACCTAATGGCCTTGAAGTGAAAGGGAGGGGGAATGAGAGGAGAGCTAATTTGTCTTGTTCTGACTCCTGCTGGAACATGTACGTGTTGGAAATGCTGAATGAGACAGCACCAGGTTTTGTTGTGATTATGCCACACACAGATAAATAATCCACTGCTGGTCAATGCCGAAGCTCATTCATGAACAATGGCATCTTTGAAAGTGATATTACTTTAAAGGACAATTAAAAAAGAGCCATTGAGATAAAGACAGGAAGTACATTGGGATTGGAACAAATTTGTGTTGTTATGGTTAATGGATGGGAGTGTTTTGAGTAGAGAATAAAGAAACCTATGATCCCACCCCTGCTTTGAATTGCATATTATTACTGGAGAATTGCTAGCATTTATGGAACTCTATCCTAACCTGAATTAACATCTCAGAAAGGGAGAGAAAACTAAGTTACCACAAAGCTAAAAACAATTTAAAGCCATTAAAAAAAACACTTCAACATTCTTATTACCGTTTTAGTCCAAATTAATTATATTCTCTTCCCCCCTCCCCTCATTAGAGCTGCAAATGCAAATCTTACACCACATTTTAAGAGACTTGTTTGTCTTCACATTTTAAAATCTGTGTGATCTGTAGTCACATAGTAATGCGTTACGCCACTTACCAGACTGTTTTGTACAACACCAGGCCTCGACAAATTGCCACTGGATATTGTTGATGGATCAAATGAGCCCGGTGTCCCTTGCATTGAAGCAAGTTTATTCTCATTCAGTTGCTTATTCAACCAGGATATTACTGTGATGAATAAATACAAGTACCTTGTTAAAAATATTTTAAAGTAAAACAGCAGAATCTATAGCTTTTAAATGCTCTTCTCTCCCAAACAGTGTTGCAGTTTCAGAAGCAAAGTGCAAGCTTCAGGGAATCATTGGACACCAGATTTAACACCTTTTACCCGAGTAAACACACAACACTGAAGTTTTATTAGCATCAGCTCACAAAGCACGGTCACATAAAATCTCATAATCCAAATCTTCTATCAATACATATTTAAAATGTTAAGACTTTCAGGAATGTCCACTTTCTAGGATACGTCCATAACTTAAAGAACAAATTGAGTTGGACCAAATCATCTTCCTCTCCCAGACCACAGGCTCTATGTTACACAATACAGGTAACATTCACCCATGTTGACAATCACATTTTGTTCAGAAAAATACTTTCCTTTGGCTTTATTATAATGCTTACAATAAATACAGTGCCTTTCCCATCAGGAGGATGGCTCAAAGAGCTTCACACGATATATCTATTCTTTTTTCTTTTACAGCATGTCTCATTCCTTTTTTCCTCATGTCCATTTTATTTTTCATCCTGTACCAGAAACAATTCTGATCTATGCTCTATTAATACTGTAGATCAGAATATCCATACCCCTGACTGTCCAGCGCCTTGGGACATCCTCCCGACGTGAAAGGCGCTATCCAAATGAATGATGCAAACTGATGCAACTAATACAGTTGTACAGAGATATTATAATGCTGTCCAATGTCTCGAGGGCTGTCTTAAAGTGAGGCATCAACAAAAATGGTTGAATTCTAGTTTGCCAGGTTGCTGCGGACTTCATGTCCTGACCCCTGCACATGCACGCTATGCACAAGAAGCATCGCTGATGCACAAGATATTAGCAACATTTCCTGCACAAGAGACTTGAAGGGGTATGGCGATACAGCAGGAGAGTGGGATTGAATGCAACTTGCTCCAAGAGCTGGTGCAGACTCAATGAGCCAAATATTTTCCTCCAGTGCTGTGAATTTCTATGATTCTATAATTATCAGCTGTATAGAGCGTTAGTCAGACCCCCATATGGAGTACTGCGTTCAGTTTGGGGCACCTAATTATAAATAATAATAATAATCCTTGCATTTGATATAGCACTTTTCACGGCTTCTCGACATCTCAAAGTGCTTCACAGAAGACTGTAAAGTGAATTGACTGTATATTTGTGGGAGAAATACGGCAGCCAATTGTGCACAGTAGTGTCCCACAAACAGTCGTGGATTGAAAATGACCATTACCATATATTGGCCCTGGAGGGGGTACAACACAGGTTCACCAGAATGTTACCAGGCTTAAAAAGGGTTAAGTTACAAGGAAAGGCTGCGTAAACTTGGACTGTATTCCATTGAGTTTAGAAGGTTAAGGGCTGATTTGATTGAGGTATTTAAGATGATAAAGGGATTTGATAGGATAGATACAGTGAAGCTATTTCCTCTGATGGGGAATCCCAAACAAGCGGGCATAGTCTTAAAATTAGAACCAGACCATTTAAGAGTGAAATCAGGAAGCATTTTTTCACTTGGAAGAAATCTGGAACTCTCTCCCCCGAAAGGCCGTGGATGCTGGATGCAGAGCAAAACCTTGGGTACTTACTCCACACGCCTGATAATAATCCCTCCAAAACAATAATAAATTGGTCATTTTCAATCCATGACCGTTTGTGGGACATTGCTGTGCGCAATTGGCTGCCGCGTTTTGCCCACAAATCTATGGTCAATTCACTTTACAGCATATTCTGTGAAGCGCTTTGAGACATCTAGAAGACTCTAAATAAAATGCAAGGATTATTATTATTATATCCACACCTTCAAGAGTGAGGTTGATAGATATTTGGCAGGTCAGGATATTAAGGGATGTGGGGAGAAAGCAGGAAATTGGAATTGAAATAATTAGTTGAGGAACAGATCAGCCATGATCTAATTAAATGGCAGAAGGGCTGAATGGCCTCCTCCTGTTCCCATGTTCCTAAGAAATGACAACCTGGAAGTTAATAATAATAATCCTTGCATTTGATACAGCACTTTTCAGGTCTTCTAGACATCTCAAAGCGCTGCCGGGAATCAAACCCAGGTTTCTCACTTGCAAGGCAAGTGTCCTGTAGCTCAGTGGTTAGAGCACTCACTTTGCAAGTGAGAGACCTGAGTTCAATTCCAGGCAGAGGGCGAAACCTTGGGCAAGTTTCCTTACTCCACACACCTAATAATAATCCCTCCAAAACCAAAAACAATAATAAATTGGTCATTTTCAATCTACGACTGTTTGTGGGACATTGCTGTGCGCAATTGGCTGCTGCGTTCGCCCACAAATATACAGTCAATTCACTTTACAGTGTGTTCTGTGAAGCGCTTTGGGACGTCCTCCTGACGTGAAAAGCGCTATATCAAATGCAAGGATTATTATTATTATTATAAGGCGAGTGCTCTGAAAACTGAGTTGCAGGACTCCACAAGTTGCCCATTTTTAGTGCAAAAAGCCAGCTAGTGAGTGGCAGAAGTTGGGTTTACTGCAAATCCACAGAACACCTATGCTAAAAGCAAAGCAATGCTACATCAAAAAGCACTACAATGAGGTTCCTCTGTAAAGTGCAACAGCTATATTTACACCAAAGAGAATGATCACAGGATTGGTCTGAAGAAGGCTTTTTAGCTCATCACTTCAACCACCTATTTTATCAATCCCCCACCCATCCCATCACTGCATCAAGCTGCTTTTTAAACAAATCTAGTCTCCTGGCCTCTAACTCCTTTCCTGGTAAGCTTTTCCAGAGGGTAATCAACATCAAGAGAAACTTCCTGGTATCTGTCCTGAAGTTGCCTTTTCAATCCCATTTCAAATGTTGTACACCTCTGTGAGGACCCCTCTTCTCTCAAGACTAAAGAACCTTAGCTTCTCTTGTCATTGTTCATAGCTCATTCGTCTAAATTAGATAATTCTTGTTACTCTCCTCTCCACCACCTCCACAGCCCCTTTATGTCGTGGTGACCAGAACTGTATTCAAGGTGTGGTCTGACAAGAGCAATGTACAGAGAATGGTGTCTGGGAATCTAAACTCAACTGAACGCACGGTAATCCAGTCAACAACTAACTCCGCTCTGCGCTAACTTCACTAAGCCGGTCTAAAAGACCTTGTAAAAGGCCATGCCGTGCCATGCACTCCCATCACACACTGAACTATTAGTGAAGAAGCATTTGCATTCTTGCGCATACAAAGCCAGTCCACTTTGTCACAGCAAACAGCTTCTCCTCCAGCCCCCGCACTCTCTCGTACGGTGTTCCTCAGGACTCTGTTCTTGATCCCCTCCTCTTTACCCTCTACATGTTCCCCCTTGGTGAAATCATCCACAGACATGGGGTAAATTTCCACAATTATGCAGATGACACCCAACTCTATCTCTCTGCCTCCACTCTCAACTCCAGGACTACTGGTGTCCTGACCGACTGTCTGTCTGACATCAAGTCCTGGACGAGGGACAACCTTCTCCAACTCAACGTCAGCAAGACCGAGGCCCTCCTGATTGGCTCGTGGCAGCGCCTCCACACCTCGGGCGCTGGCAGCATCAGCCTCCACGGCTGCACACTCAACCTCACTAAGCCAGTCAGGAACCTGGGTGTCTTGTTTGACCCTGAACTGTCCTTTCTCCCCCACATCCGCGCCATGACCGGCACTGCCTACCACCACCTCCTCAACATTGCCAGACTCTGCCACTGCTCACCCCTCAGGCTGCCGAAACCCTCACCCACGCATCCATCACCTCAAGGCTCGATTACGGAAACTCCCTCCTCATCGGCCTTCGTAACTGTTCCCTTCACAAGCTGCAGATCATCCAAAACTCTGCAACACGTGTACTCTCCATGACCCCATCACTCCCACCCTCGCCCGAATCCTCTGGCTCCCCATCCCTCAGAGGATCGAGTTCAAGATCCTCGTCCTCACTTTCAAGGCCATCCATGGCCTTGCCCCTCCTACCTGTGACCTGCTGACTCCCTACCAACCTGCCCACTCCCTCCGTTCAGCGGGCTCCGGCCTGCTCCATGTCTCCCACCCGACCATCAGTGGCCGGGCTTTCAGCCTCTCTGTCCCCACACTCTGGAACTCCATCCCACGGTCCCTTCGCATCGCTTCCTCCCTTGCATCCTTCAAGGCCGGTCTCAAGAACCTTCTCTTCAACCATGCCTTTGGTCTCCCTCCCACCTCTCTGCCTTCCCTCACCCCTACACCACTCCTTCCCCATGCTCAGGCCCGACACCTGACTGTTCAGCACTTTGGGACATCCTCCTGACATGAAGGGCACTCTACAAATGTAATTTTGTTGTTGTGTACATATTTAAAGAATTCAATCCTTATTTGCATTCCAATTCTTGCATTTGAAATAAAACAAAATGTAAAGAACCTGGCCAAACTGTGAAGCAAAGTCAGGTCGCATTCCTACATATATACAAAAAGATTTCAAGCATTCATAAAACTTACCATTTTCATTTGTCTTTAGAAGTTGCTTGCTCTCTTCCAATTTTTGGACTGTGGCTTCAAGGTGCTCTTGCTGTTTAGACATCTATTAAGAATAAACTTTTTTATTTCAAAAAATCTTTTCCTCAATATTCTTTCAAGATGTGTAGATCAATTTATGAAGTTTCATTACCTCCTCCTCCTTTAATCGGAGACTCTGTTGCACCTCCCTCAACTCCATTTGCTCTTTCTGGATTGTTTGCGTCTTTTCTCCAATAAGTTTCTCTTGTTGCATTGTCACAGTATTTTTCAGTTTGATCTTTTCCATCAGTTTTTTCATATCTCCCTGCAGTTTTTTAATAATCTCATTGGCCTGTAATGAAACAGCATTAAATGTTGATTCAATTTCAACAATTTCTGAGAAGTTTTGACAAAACTAAAATATGATTTGCAGTTTCAATGTATAATTGCATGCAGGTAGGACCAAACAGACACCATGCAATTCTACAGAATATGCAATTACCGAAAGTTCACTAGTGGTACCACTTTCCCTCGCTCTTCACACCGTCTCTGCTGCCAATCTCCGCACCACCTCTCTTAACACATCATGCTTCAGCTCTTCCCGTCGCTCTCCGCGTTGCCTCTCTTCTCATAATGTGCTTGAAAAGATGCCACATATACACCTCAACGCGTTCAACTCCTCAACCAATGCAAGTATCCTAACTAATTATGCAGGTGCAAATGAAATCAATGAAATGAAATCTTTCATGCAATTAAGTGAATTCTGCAATTATCCGATATGCATTCCGAGCAGAGTGCAATACCGTGCAAACAAACAGCTAATGTTCGATACCTTGAAATTCTATCCAATTAAATGGAATATGAAATTAAGTGGAATGCACCTGTACTTTAAACAAAAACACTTTCGAAATCTTTGGACTCAATCCTTTCTTGAAAAGGATTAAAAAATAAATGATCGACAATATCTACTTGGCCCTCAACTGTCTTTTCTCCCTCACATTCAAGCCATGGCCTGCTCTACCTTCCCTCACCTCCGTAACATCGCCCGACTCCACCACTACCTCACCCCTCAGGCCACTGAAACTCTTGTTCATGCCTTCATGCCTTCATCACCTCCAGGCTCGACTACGCAAACGCTCTGCTTGTCGGTCTTCCCAACTCCTCCCTCCGCAGGCTGCAGATAATCCAGAACTCTGTGTCCTCTGCCGCACCAAACTCTGTGAACCCATCTCCCCCATTCTCGCCTGACTCCATTGGCTCCCTATCCTTCAGAGGATCCAGTTCAAGATCCGGGTCCTCACATATAAAGCTTTCCACGGCCTCACCCCACCCTACCTCTGCGACCTCCTAACCCCTTACCAACCCGCCCAATCCCTCCGTTCAGCCGGCTCCATGTCCCCCGACCCACCCACCCCACCATTGGTGGCAGAGCATGCCCCAAACTCTGGAATTCCATCCCCCAGTCACTCCGCCTCCTTAGCCTCCTTCAAATCCCGCCTCAAGACCCTCCTCTTCGACCAAGTCATCAGCCACCCCCCTTCCTCTCTTCCCCCCCACCACCTCGACCCCAGCTTGTGTCTGAAATGCTGTACGTTGTCCAGCGCCTTGGGACATCCTCCCGACGTGAAAGGCGCTATACAAATGTAATCTTGTTGTTGTTGTCCCGCAAATGGTTCAAATGGGATTTATTAGCTCTTAACATAATTCAAGGAAGCAACCTTTAATCCTTCAAACAAGTAAGACAGTAATCCTCTTTCCTTTTTTTCCTTAAAGGCATCAAACATGGCAAATTCAACTGAAACGACCTGAAGGATGGCCAGTACAACAACAAAATTACATTGGTATAGTGCTTTTCATGTCAGGAGGATGTCTGAAGTCACTGGCCAGTCAGTGTTTTGGACTCAAGCTGGGGGTCAGGATCAGGGAGGATGTAGGGCGGGCAGGGGAGGGGGGTAAAAAGGAGGGTCTTGAGACAGGTCTTGAAGGAGGCAAGGAAGAGGGCGAGGTGGAGGGATTGCGGAGTGGAGTTTCAGAGGGTGGGGGCAGAGTGGCAGAAGTCCACCTGCCAATGGTATGGCGGGCAAGGCGGTGGACATGAAACAGACTGGAGGCCGCTGAGTGGAGGGAGCGCGCACGTTTGTATGGGGTTAGGAGGTCGGCAAGATAGGGGGAGCAAGACCATGGAGAGCTTTGAAGGTGAGGACCATGATCTTGTACTGTATCCTCTGGGAAGCCAGTGGATTCGGCGGAGGATGGGGGCGATAGGGTCACGGCGCCTGGTACGGGAGGACATGGGCTGCAGAGTTCTGGATGATGTGCAGCCTGTAGAGGGAGGAGTTGGACAAGCAGGGAGTTTGCATAGTCGAGCCTGGATGCTATGAAGGCATGTATGAGTGTCTCGGCGGTCTGCGGTGTTAGACAGTGGCAGAGCCGCACGTTGTTGCGGAGGTTGGAGAAGGCAGAACTGGTTATGGCACTGATGTGTCATAAAAAAGGACAGTTGAGAGTCAAACAAGTCACCAAGTTTCTGGACTGGCTTTGTAAAGTAGAGTGTACATCCTTGGATGGTGATGCTGTTAGTGCCTGAGGTGTGGAGGGGTAATGGTCCTGGAGTCGAGGTAGAGAGATACAGTTGGGTGTCATCCACATACATGTGGATATTGACCCCATGTCTGCGAATTATGTCACCAAGAGGGAGTACATTGATATTAAAAAGGATTGTATGAGAGCTAGGATCTGAACCAGTCAAGGACAGAACCATGAAGGTCGAGGTGAGAGGAAAGGCGGTGGAAGAGGATAGAGTGGTCAATGGTATCAAAGGCAGCAGAGAAGTCAAGAAGGCAGAGGGAGCCCTGGTCGCAGAAGGACAAGATGTCATTTGTCACTTTGTTGAGGTAAAGAGACAGGTGGCCATGGACATGGGTGGCGGAATGGGTGTGAAGGGAAAGGTTCAGGGAGAGGAGAGGAGAGAGAAGTCAGCCGAGATAGAGCACGAGGGGGTGGAGTGCAGGTTAAAGTCTCCTAAGATGAGGAGGTGTTCAGTGCAGAGGAAAGGTAGAAGGGCGGAGATGTCCGAGAGGAAGATGGGGGAGGGTTTGGCAGGGGGACGATAAACAAGAAGGATTTTGAGGGACAGGTTGGAGAGGTTAAGGTGCTCAAAGGAGGGGAAGTTTCTGGAAGAGTAAGGGGATAAGCCGAGTGGGAACCGGGAGATGAGAGCCGCACTGCCACCACGGTGGTTAGGTCATGGGGTATGGTGGAAGGTGTAGGCGGGTGGTGTGGCCTAGGTCAGGAGGAAGGTGTCAACTGAGGTGACCCAGGTTTCGGTGAGGGCAAGGATGTCAATGTGTTCGTCGATAATGAGGTCTTGAATGGTGAGCATTTTGCTGGAGAGGGAACATACATTTTGTAGGGGACAGCCTGTGGTGTAGGAATGGGCGAGATGGGGCGGGTGGGGGTTGTTGACAGGGAGTGTGGGAATGTGCATAAGGGAGGAGAGGTTGGCACTCAGGGTCACGGACTGATGGGCTTTGAGCTGGGAGGTGGGGAATGGGGCAGTCAGAGTGGCTGCTGTTGGACAGCCAGCGACTTCTGCTACGGTGGGCTTGACGGAGGATTCGCAGGCTGGAGCAGAGGGAGGCTGCGGGAGGGTTGAGCAGGGATAGGAGTGGGGGGGAGCGGTGAGAGAGAAGGGTTGAGTGGGAGTAGTGGAAGGTAGCAGCAAGGAACGATAGCAGATGACAGACGCAAAGAAGGATGGCAGTAGTCACGATCAATCCCTACCACCAACTCAGCGGTAAATCAGGCAGCAAATTGCCTAAAAATTAAATAAACTGAATATGTCTGAGCCAAGTTCTCTTGGAAAGGTAATACAGTAATCACTTTTGTAACAGTGTCGGTTCAGTTACCTTCAGTAATTCTTCTGAAAGAGACTTCACAGTAGCTTCCAGTTTTCTGTTTTGTTGCTGCTTTTGTTCTAAGCTCCCCTCTAGATTTTTCTGTACAGAAGAGGAATTTATTCACACAAAAAAAAACTGCTGCCAACATTCAGCAAATCCCAGTTCTGTTTTACACAAAGTTTGTTGATAAAAAGATTTTATTTAATATTTTATCATATTTAAGCAGCAGTGAATGCATTTCATCAGACATTCAATTAACAAACTGTTTAAAACGGGCTGCTTTAGATGTCAAACAGATAAAGACAAGATGATTAGGATTGCATTATTTTAGCATTTAATTCTTCTGTATGTCTCATCTGTGTGAGAAATTATTCAGGTCAGATTTGCAACAATTGTTAGACCCCAATGTAAAACTACTGAAGGACTGAATGGTTAAAGATTTTAACATCAAATGTGTTCCTTTCATTTCCTGGCACACACTACCTCTCTGACCTCCTCACTCCCCAATCCATCACCCGGCGCCTCTGCTCGACTGGCACCGGCCTCCTGCTTGTCCCACACGCCCTCCACGCCACCATTGGAGGTCAGGCATTCAGCCACTATGCCCCAAAACTCTGGAACACTCGCCCTCAATCCCTCCACTTTGCCCCATCTTTCCCCTTTTTCAAGTCCTGCCTGAAAACCTTCCTATTCGACTGTGTTACGGTCACCCATGCCACCCCCCCACCCCCACCCACCCTGGGCTCAGCCACTGTTAAGCACTCTGAGACACTTCCCTGCGCAAAGGGCACTACATAAGCACAAGTTGTTGTTGTTCAGTGGATCCCATTATGACTGTTTTCTGTTTTGTTGCTGCTTTTGTTCTAAGCTCCCCTCATCCTGAATGCTCAACTGAAAAGTGAAATAAATTGCATCCGATTTCCAATACCTTGTGTTCCTGTGTACTTTCAAAGACTTCTGTTGTCCTTGTAACCACCTGCTCTTTATCCTTCACTTCTTGCTCCAGGACAGCGGTCCTCGTTCGCAGTTGATTCAGCAGTTTTTCTTTTTCATGGCATTCCGCATCTAATGTGGAGTTCTCTCTCCTCAGTGAAAGAATTTCCTGCTTTGATCTTTGACACTCCTGAACACCACATAACAAAATAAGGACAGGCAAAATTAATCTATCATTTTAGCTTAGAAAAATGGGAAATGCAGTTAAAATAATAAATTAGCATGGAAACAATTTAGGAGTACTTATTTTCCAAACTGAAAAATAAAATAATATAATCCTTGCATTTGATATAGCGCCTTTTCACGTCTTTGGGACGTCTCAAAACGCTTCACAGAATATACTGTAAAGTGAATTGACTGTATAAAATCATACATCCACTGTAGGTTTGTGAATCCTCCACTAAGTGCAAGAGAATTTCTATATATTCTATTACAATAATCCTGCACCAGTGGTCTTCTCAATTTTTTTTCCCCCTGAACATTTTCTGCTCTTCTCTCCTGAAGAAAAAGGGAGATTCAGACCAGGACATGGTTCTATGGACCTCCAGGAACCTGCCACATTAACCTTCATCTATTTGTGTCCAGACAATGAGTTCTGACAAGCAATTCAATATAGCCTGTAATTCCCTCTGCATTTACACATCTTGTAAAATTAAACCCTATAATGCATTTTTTTTATTTAAAAGTTTGAATAGTCACATAAAAAATACATTAAAAATGATTTGCCAACCTCTTCCATTCCCAACAGTTTGGCTTTCAACTCCCGTATTGAAGATTCTGATTTATATCTCCTCTCAGTAAGATCCTTGTTAATAGTTTCCAGTTCAGCTAGCCTGCTCTCTAAATGTTGAACTGTTCGACTGTGTGCTATTTCCATCTCCTTCTTCTGTTGTTCCCACTGAAGCTGGTACTGTCTTTGAGCCTAAAAGGCACAGAAATACTGTAATGTCAGAGAAACTTTAAGGTTGAGTAAAGGGGAAATATTAATATATATCTATCAGTGTAATTCTATGCATATGTGAGGAAAACAAACGTAAAATGCACACTTTCAATCGAAAGAAGATATCTATTTCGAGGCTCTTCATTTTTTGAATCAGGAGCATTCTACAATAATGGGTAAAAGCACCATTCAGACCAAGCTCACCCATGAGGAATGACCACTTAAGAATAATAATCCTTGCATTTGATATAGCGCTTTTCACGTCGGGAGGACGTCCCAAAGCGCTTCACAGAATACACTGTAAAGTGAATTGACTGTATATTTGTGGGCGAACGCGGCAGCCAATTGCACACAGCAATGTCCCACAAACAGTCGTGGATTGAAAATGACCAATTTATTATTGTTTTTGTTTTTTGGAGTGATTATTATTAGGCGTGTGGAGTAAGGAAACTTGCCCAAGGTTTCGCCCTGCCTGGAATTGAACTCAGGTCTCTCACTTGCAAAGCGAGTGCTCTAACCACTGAGCTACAGGTCTCCACGTTAAATGGCAGGATTACAAGTAACAGGCACCAAAATAGTGTGAGGGAATGTACGGAAAGGGAAAGCCTGCACTCAAGATGAATTCTGCATTCATTATTCAATTTGTAAAGTACAAGATAGCGTTTTTAAAAATGTTCTGCCACACATTGCATTTCTACACATTCTCACCTGTTGAGATTTCTCTCGTTCTGTGGTAACCTCTTGACTGTGTTTGTTTGACATCAAGCTTGAATGTGATGTCCATTCATTTCGTAATCGATCTAATTCTTTACTTTTTTCTGCCAAAGTCTGAACAAAAATGTTAATGGAAAATTATCCTATTTAAAAAACAAATTATCCCATTTAAAGAAAGGTCAACCTAATTAAAGGCAAAAATTCTCATTTTTAATTTGTTATTAAATGTATAAACAGGCTGAAAGAAAATAGTTAAAATGTATTTATACTACTGCTTGCGAATTCAACCGTTTAAATTTCTCTATAAAATACAACCTCAATGCAGCTCTACCAGTATTCAATTAAATAAGCATAAAGTATATAACTCTTATGAAGTGGGTAAGTAGACTAATTCACTATGTTACTGACCAACTGATCAAATCCCTTGCTCATATTATGCATAGGAGCGCTCCACTCTGTATGCTCTGTTGTCCAACAAAAGAAATGCACTGCAATTTTTTTACAAACCTGTTGAGTAATGCTTAATCTTTTATTTAAGTCTTCTTCAGATCTGTGCAACCTATCGTCAAGCGAATTCCTTTCCATCTAAAAAGAGAAATAATTGGTTAAACTGTTATTTATATTTAATTATTTACATGTAGAGCACACATCTATTGATGCTTCATGCAATCCTGTTTAAAAATAGTTGTTCTAGTCCTCCCAAAGAATTACCACTTGTTCCTGCCTTCTGCCCTATTTTTTCACATCAAATCTTTTGGTTCAAACCTCAGCTTCAGACCATTCCACAAGCAGAGAAATAGAATGTTGGTCTTCCTTGAGCAAAGCCCCAGTGAGATCCAAAGCTTAAAGCAATGGGCATTTGAAACCAACCTTCATATTTCGGAGACAGACAGCTAAATATTTCTTGACATCAGTATCATTTGCTGGCAGCAGCTTTAAGGAGAGGTGGGTGAGATGCTTGAATGGATTAGTTTCTATTACATTCAAGTTCGCTGGGATGCGATCCATCACAGTGGAGGAAGTTACCAACTGAAGCAGAAACCTACAGAAAATCAACAATGAGGAGGATTAAAAATAAGAGCCTTTAACAAGGCTTTTTTTTAATTACAGATCAGAAAAGCATCTCAAAAAGGACTCCATCAGGCTATGTCTTGAGTGGATCAGAAAATAATTAGCAATTTACAATGAACTGACAGAAATAAATAATCCAAAGTACATCATAGAATGCATGCCAAATTAAAGTGGATGTAACAATAATAAGTCAGTAACTTCTAAATATAATAGAACAAGAGAAACTGAATTCTAGAAATCTGAAGTTAAAACACTGAATATTAGAAAGTATCATCTGAAAGGGAAGATTACTTAATTTTTCAGTGGAGGCTACACCTGTATCTATTATTCTCTTTCAGGTCATGTACTACAACAACTTGCATTTATATAGCACCCTTCACGTGGGGTAGCGTCCTATAGTGTATGTCTTTTGCGGAGTCTGATCCCGACCCAGGGGAGGTGACCATAAGCACGATCAAAAGGAAGGTCTTATAACATAATAGAACAATAGTCGTAGGCAGGATTTGAAAGTCGGAAGGGAGGGAGGGGGCAAATCGGAGGGATTGAGGGAAAAAGTTCCAGAGTTTCGGGGTGTAGTGGCTGAAGGCACGTCCACCTATGGTGGACCGGAGGGGAGAGGGTAAACAAGAGGCTGGAGCCAGCTGAGCGGAGGCAATGGGTGGTGGGGTAGGGTTAAGCAGATTGAATAGGTAAGAAGATACCAGGGCAGGAAGGGATTTGAAAATGAGTGAGAGGATCTTGAAATCGATCTGTTCAAAAATTGAGAGCCAGTGGAGCCTGGCAAAGACTGGCGTGATGGGGGTATGGAGTTTTGTGTGGGTGAGTATCCAGGCGGTGGAGTTTTGGATTAATTGAATCCGATGTATGATCTGATTTGCATTTATTTAAAACAAAATACACACATTACTAATCCTTTCAGGTTTACATTAACTTTAACAAGTTTAGCCTGGATTCTAAATAGAAAGTACAGTTCAGAAACAGGTCTTTTGGCCCATCCAATCTGGCCAACACATTGAGCACTGGAGGTGAAGAGCCATAAAAAAAAAATTTCAATCCCATATTTTCGACAGCAACGATTGATGTTAAATATATTTATCCTTTATTAACACAACTACTTTTTCAAATAATTTCAAGGAAATTTTGAGAATTTGCTTTCAGACCAGTTAATGAGGTTAAAGTGGTATATCAATCCCAACATATGCTGCTAATCCTCCAACTCATTTAATTGGATACATTAAAACAAAATTCTGTATCTGTTCCTTCAAAATACCCATGGTATTTAGCCAAACTAATTTTGTTAAACATTTTTATATGATAGCATAAATGTATTGTCAAGAAGCATATACATAAATTTACTCAAAAAGATCAATAAATTCTACTCACAATTTCAAGTTATCTTAGAAATATTTCAGCTATTCTGCACAAAAAATAAACTAATGTTTAGGACACGTACAATTCAAGAATCAAAGTAGGTTTGTTTCATAAATATATATATATATATGAACAAGTACCACTAAAAATTCACAACTCTGTTCAATCATCTATTGATCATCTGCCAATTGAAACCTACCGTGGCATCTCTTTATCTTGTTCTCGGATACATTGTTCCAAAAGATCTATGAACCGTTGAGGAAAAGCAGAAAATTCTACCAGCAATCCTTGTTGGGTTTTTAAACTGCAAAGACAAGCAAATGATTACCTTTGTGCTATGCACCACATAACAGATGTTGGTTTGAGATTCCCTAAACTAATTTCATTCAACATCCTCAAGATGCATTTGGACACATTTCAATGAAAATATCTTTATTGAAAGGAATAGTATGTACACTCATTAGGTGTATGGGAGGAGGGGAAAAGGTATTTCCTTTGTAGCTCCACCCGTCCCTATTTAGCAAATGTAGATGGATCTTAAAAGCCTGCTATTTCATTGTAGATGCTTAAAATGGTGCCAACATATCCCATGGGACTGCACTATTTCATGACAATCTACATTTCCCAACAGTCTTTGTCAACAGGTTCTGCAGCTGAGGTCACATATACATCTGATATGGCAGATTTCATTAGGTTGGAGATTAATTCCAAAAAATATGGAGAATCATACGAGTTGCTGATTTTTCGATCTAACTAATAATGCAACACCGATCAAATCTTTCCCAGTTGTTGACACAGACTTTTTTTGAAATATTCCTAAACTCTATGGAATTATAAAATTTAAAAATTAATCTGCACACTCATGACTGTAGCGGTAGGTAGGTCCAGGTCTCGGGGATCAGGACCAACAGATAGGCCGAACTCTCGGTGATCAAGTAGCAAATGGTGGTCATTTCTGGGTTCAGGCAGAGCCGCCATTTCACAATTTCCCGCCTTAACCCCTGCGTGACATCACTTCTGCCCACCAGGCTTGAATCCCTGGAACCAGGTGCAGTATAGTCTATTAGTATCTCCTTCCGCTTCTCTGTCTTTTCGCTACAGTCTGCTCGGTGTTATCTTCCAAGTTAGGAAACCAGGTGGACAACACAATGAGTGCCCTACCCTCTCTCCTCCCTCTGCACCACCTCTAGCCCCTGCAGTCTGTGGGCTGACCATGCCCCACTGGACGCCTGCCTCGAGTCTCGGCGTGTGAAACTTGGCTGCCGCCTCCAAACTGCTTTTCCCCAAAAATGCTCCCTACCCTGCAACTCTCCCGCTATGTCCTCCTCCCGTTGCTGAGTAAGATGTTCTTCTATAACACTAACAATAACAATTCAGCAGGTGTGAGATAATTGCTTCAATGACATGATAATCGAAAGATTTTGCTTTCTCATCCTGACTGTGAAAAAAACAATTATAAAAGATGTATGGTTGAACTATAATTTGTTCAGCCTAGGACGGAGCATGTCAGGTGCCGTCCACACAAAAGCTATCTTTCATGTGACGGTATGAAGTGGTGAAGCCAATGTGTTGTATTTGGATTAAAGACTTGGACTGTTCCATCATTTCATCGACTTTTGTTAACTCCAGCAATTTCAGGAAGAAGGAAGACTGCAGAAATTCCAGAACTTCTGAAATCGTTTTAAACTTAATGGAAGAAGAACGTATAACAACTATCGAAAATATTAACAACATATAACAAATGTCAAGTAAAGTACACAGCTCGGTTGTCCATCATCAACTTTGACTTTGCGATCAAAATACCCAAGCAAAGGGTTTTGGGTCTGAATCAAGAGACTTTCCACTGATGCAAGACTTTTGCCTGTTGATCGGGACTTCTATCAACTGACTCCATCAAAGAGGCAAGATTTGTATGATTTATGGACTATGCAATTATTGGTTAATTTACTTTGATACAGACATCTGTCTATGCTGTTGACTTGTCTGTTGTATTGCGATATTTTGAACTAACAAACTTTTCATAATAAATGCATTTCATATTAAGTAAACAAATTTTCAAACATAAGTTGCTGAATGTCTTTCGTTCCACTGCTCATGGGTCCTTATTTAAAGAAAGGCTATAAAGAATAAGCTAGTCTTATTCTGTTCATTGCCCAGAACCCAACATTTGGCCCACCTCCATCTCCTACCTCCCCTGAAAAGAATCTCCCTGCACTCCCTCTCCGCTACCCTGGAGTCGCCTGAACTCCTCCCTCTCAGGCCTACCTCCCATAACAACTTATCCTCCTCGTCACTGGCCTCTACAACTCCCTCTCCACCATTCTCAATGCCCTTACCCCCCCACACCTCCCAAACCACCTCCTACTCATGAACCTCACCCTGGTGCACCAGCCACCTCCACTCCACTCAAGGGTCAGCTGCATGCCCCTGAACAAACCTGCCTCAAATCTGATTTAACAAACCACCGGCAAATCTGTCTGGATCACATAAAAAAATTACCGCTCCGCCCTCGCCTCCACTAAATTGTTCTCTATTCCATGATAATCGTGGAGGCCAAGGACAAGCCCAGGCTCTTCTTCTCCATCAACAACCAGAACCTCTTTCCACCCTCTCACGCCTCACCCATCCTCTCCTACAACTGCGAGGAGATGCTAGATTTCCTCAAGACCAAAATTGAGGGGATCCGTTCAGCCACCGCAGGCCTCCCAGCCGCCACCCCCTTCCCATCCCTCTCCCACACTCCAGCCACTACCCATCCCTTCGAACCCATCTCCCCCCACCCCCTCACCACCACTATACCCTGCATGAAGCCCACCACCTGCCCCCATCCCTATTCTTCGACACTGTGGATCACTCTATCCTCCTCCACCACCACCTTTCCCTTCAAGGTTCTGTCCTTGAATGGTTCAGATCTTATCTCTCACACTAGCTCCACTTTTGATCTCCACAAATGGCTTCTCCTCCACCCCCCGCACCATCTTGTGCAGTGGTCCTCAGGGCTCTGTCCTCTCCTCTTCAACCTGTAGATGCTCCCTCTTGGTGACATCATCCGCAGACATGGGGTAAACTTCTACGCGGATGGTACCCAACTCTTATCTCTCTGCCTCCACCCTCGACTCCAGGACCACTGATATCCTGACTGACTGCCTGTCAGACATCAAGTCCTGGATGAGAGCCAACTTTCCACAGCTGAATGTTAGCAAGACCAAGGTTCTCCTGATTGGATCGCGCCAGCACCTCCGCACCTCAGGCATTGGTAGTATCAACATTCACGTATGCACACTCCACCTCACCAAACCAGACAGGAACCTTATCCTTTCAAGGCCCTCCATTAGTCTTGCCCCGCCTATCCCTCCAACCTGCTAAACCCTTGTAAAACTGTACGCTCCCTCCACTCAGCAGGCTGTGGCCTTCTCCATGTCCCCCGCCTGATCCGCTCTATGTCCCCCATGCGTCCTCACCATCGCAGTCGGGCCTTCAGCCTCTCTGCCCCCACCCTCTGAAACTCCATCCCACATTCCCTTTGTCTCACTCCCTCCCTTGCCTCTTTCAAGGAACGCTGCAAGATCCTCCTCTTCGACCGTGCCTTCGGTTGCAATATGTATTGCATAAAAAATTGCTATAGAATTTATTACCTACCTTTGAAAATCTTCTTCGCCAATTGTAAGAGTATACAAGAAAAAGGGATCCGTGTCATCCGTCAAACGTACAATTAAATCCTAATGAAAAGTACAGAAATTAGTTATTTTATTTAGGTTTTGCCAATTTCTTCCTCTCAAGAGAAATCAAAGGCAAATCCAATTCTATGCTCATTAAATATCCATGCATTTGCACGTTTTCACAGGGATTGTTGAATAACAATTAAGAAAGAGCACCCTGGCAGGTTCTCTCCTCCAGTTGGTGATGGTGGGGGCAGGAAAGCAGGGAGGCTGTGGTCATCTGCCAACTCTGTGGAATCAGCTAAATGAGCAAACCTTAAAGCCTCTGGTCCGCATGACACAGTGCATTTACCAGGTTATCAGATGATATAGCGAATTATTTTAAGTATTAACAAATAAAACAGATACTGTATTAAAATGAGCTCCAACGTGTTAATAGTTAGAATCCAATGGTAACAAAGAAGCAAAAATACATACTGTGAACATGTAACTAACGATTCAAAGAAAATGTGAATAAGGTATATTTTCATTCCTGAAAACAAACTCAGTTGTAAACTTGCTGGGACTTATCTTTTGTGAAAAATTCTTGACAGAATCCTTCAAAAGCTTAACATTGTTCAAGTGAGCTAATGCAAGTACAATTAAAAGAACCATGTTTAGTGAAACTTGCCCTAAAGCTCGCAAAAATATTTTCTTAAGAAGATTTGATTGTGGTGCACTGAAGAATGCACCACAATCAAAAATGAACATCTTTGTGAATGTTAAATTGAACAATAATAATTTACAGGCATCTACGGCTACTCTAGTATGTTAAAACCACAATCTCGAAAAAACAACAGTGATTGAATCAGCTTGTATGGATGCATTCGTGAGGAATCCTAGACCTTCACATGAGGGAAAAGGGGATAGAAGGGAATGGGAGGGAATTAGTGAAGACTTGTGCGGTGAATAAACACCAAAACAGACTGGTTTGTTTCAAAGCTGTAGATTCTTTGTAACTCATTATTTTAAAATGGTTGGGAGTTACAGTATAAACAAAAGGCAACTCTTAGTGCACAAGCCAAATGTTTATTGTAGGTATAATTACTTTTGTTTCTAAAGGTAATAAAGTCAGGGATAAATATATAGATTCAGCTTTGCTCACTTCTGCATTCAAGGAGTTCAAGGCAGTTAATGGTGTCAAATGTTATTAGTACAAACTGGAAAAAATACTATGGCATACCACAGAGCAGAGCCACAGATTATAACACAAACACACCAATGGGTTTGATAAGGGCAAGGTTTACATGAGAGACTACTCCGGTTTCAAATATATACAGATGGATGCTTTGTAAAGAAAATTACTGATAATTTGATACCAATTATCAGTCTCACTCAATGAGGCCGCTTCCACACTGGGGAGCACTCTGGTTTCAAATATTTACCTTATCTTTTGTGAAGAAAATGCTTAATAATTTGGTACAATTGTGAGCCTCGCTGAGACTTTCTTCACTGGGGAATACTCCCCTTTAAAATATTTACTTGAAAGCTTTCTAAAGAAATAGCTAATAATTTGGCACTACCTCCAAGTCTTAATTAGAAACAACATTCGGTGCTGGGAATTGAAATGTCACCAATACAGTGAGCTTTTTTTGGAAAAAAGATTCAAGCAGCATTTCTTTCATGTCCCAGTCGATTGAGAAAATTGATGAGTTGGCAAGCAAGTGAAAGTAATTCACTGCCAAAGTTGTTTTAAAAAAGACATTTTAACTTAACAAGGTAAAATTGATATTTTCAGTTTTCGAGGTTAATTAATTTTCAAATACATTCATCTTAAAAATTAAAAAGGGACCCTTTGGATCCATTTTGAACAACATGTAGGATAACACCTTGGAGCATTGCACTATGGTAGGGTTGCACCAATCGAGTAAGGGAGAAGGGACATGGGAAGTTGACCACAGTGGCAGTCGAAGAGATAGGTTTTAAGGCGGGATTTAAAGGTTGCTAGAGAAGGTGAGGTGGAGTAGTTGAGGTAGCGAGTTCCAGAGGTGAGCACAGTGGCTGAAGTTAACACACTATGTTACAAACAAAATGTTTCTGGTTAATGATTTAATTCATATCAATATTCTGTACAGCAGAATCTGAAAATCTGCTCCAGTTAGTTTTGCAAACAGCAGCCCAGGCAAACAGGAATCCTAGATTGTGACTAAGAACAACCTCAGCTGCTTTTCAGTGATTCAGAAATGGGGGAGAAAAGGTTTACTTCAAAATGCTTTTTAAAACATTTCCTTATTAAGCAGATTTATATTTAGAAATTTTTCAATTTTAATTCCAAAAGCAGGTTGTTTTCAAATATTTTACGAAATCCTTCAGTGGATCACAGTAAACATAATAATACTTGCATTTGATATAACACCATATCACATCGCTTCACAGAATATACTGTAAAGTGAATTGACTGTATAATGTATGGGCAAAACACAGCTTTATTAAATTCCTTTATTATTCCTCCCTACGTGAAAGGCACTCTATAAATGTAATTTTGTTGTTGTTGTTTTACTGTGATTGGTGCCGGGGCCCATAAAATGAAACTGTTACAACAGCGCACGTTGCAATAAGGGCTGTTCATCAGACGTTGCAATAAGGGCTGTTCAAAATGCAAGGATTCTGTTTAACCAGATTAGCCAGGGGCGCACTAGCATTACTGAGCCCACCCGCGATGCCTGCACACCATGACCAAAAAACAACAGAAGTAAATTGTTGGTCTACAACGTTTCCACATTATATCTGTATAATGGCCGAGGATTGCACACTATGTAAAAAAATAAAAATCAAGGTTTCCCCAACTAGAAACGTAGCTGCTACATCAAAAACTGAGAAAACACAACTTGTGTCAGTACCCTGAGGGGTAAACTATGATCTAATGATTCCTGTTGGTAAGTGCAAATCACATGGCTATCAGATGAGAATAGGATCTCATCCTATTGTATTGAAGAGTTGTATTAGTTCTCAGGCTGAACTTGGTACCTTCTTGACCTTTATGGCTCAGTAGTAGGGGGAATGAACCTAGGTTTTTTTTAAAAATCACAGACCATGGAACCACACCTGAAGAATTCAATACTGCCTTGAAGAGAAGAATGAAGAAAAAAAGAGGGGGAAAAACATCACATTTCTAAAATATCTGTACAATTATAACATTCATCACTTAATACCAAAAATTAGGTGAAAGTTCTCCAAAAAAGAATCTGCACAGTGGCTTAGAAAAATTACTCTACCTTTTTGTGAACTGGATTAGAAGAAGATTGCCATTCTACCATCAGTTGAATATTTTCCCTCCTGCAATTAAAAAGCTACAAGGTTAGTATGAGCCAAAAGGAGACACAAGTCAATTTAAAATAAAAGGGTATTATTGAATAGCGTCCTGGACGCTTCAAATTCTATGGTAAAATGCCTGATTATCTACATCAAAATGCAAGGATTCTGTTTATATGCACATTCATATTTTAGGAATACTATTGTGAGCTGAACTACATTTTAAAGATTAAATATAAGATTTGCTATATACCGTAACACCTGACCCCATTAGAAGACAACTCATTATCGTGTAAGCCAATATATAGCGAGTCCAACACCAGTGTACATAGTTCACCAAATTTGTCTGCAAATACACATGCACTTGCATGATTCACACAATAAATGTCAATGTTAGATTTATTCATTAATGATGTCACAGTAAAATAGTATTCACCTCTCATTATAGAAGGCTATCACAGCCACATAGAGGGTACAACAAAGATTCACTCTTATGGCACTGGGTAGGAGAGATAATGATGATACTAGGGATGTGACATTAGTTACATGTTAACACTTGGGCCTGTTTTGGGTGCAGAGGGGAAATCTAATGATGATCTCAAAATTATGAACTAAATGATGAAGAGTAGAGAGTAGCGTTGTCTACTTTTTGCCAAGTTAGTAATAGGAGGGTTTTGAAGGAAAGAGGAAGCAAGATTATGAAGTTTTGGAACAGAAGAATTCCAGAGGGTCAGAGATTATGCAATTCCCTCTGTACAATTAAAGCAAGTTGCATTACCAGAAGAAAAAAAGGCAGTAGAACCATAGAAACTTACAGCAAAAAAGGCATCCAATCCTTTCAGTCCCATTTATCTGGCCACTCTCCTGCAGTTGACTCCTTTTGGGGACAATGCACTCCACATAATTACATGAAGTCAGGACTGGACAGATGCCATGCAATTATACAGAGCATGTAACTACCCAAAATTCATTAGTGGCACCACCTTCCCATCACTCTCCGCGCTGCTATCCTATTATAATATGCTACAACAGCAAATGACGCTTTACCATAAAACTACCATAAAATCAGTGCTGTCTCACTTTATAGTTGCAACCATTTCTCCTGGAACACTGACCATCCAACAAGAGTTGGTAACCCTACTCACACGGTCAACTATTCAAGCAATACAACTATCCAAACTAATTGAACAACTCCAAAAGAACACATTCTGTGCAACTTTTTTTCTGCAGTTTTGCTACATGGATTATTTTAGATTGATAATACGCCACTTAATTTTGCACCCAGGAGTTCCAACTCTACAGTAGTTACAAGTTTACAACACATTATTTATTGGAACCTTTTAACACCCATCAAAGAAAAACTCAATTAAGTAAAATATTTAAATCCAGAATTCACACTGATTTAAGTGTCTAAGTGCTCTCTGTCTTTAACTGGTCAGAAACAAACTGTACAGCAGGTATTAAAATGAAGTAAATAAAAGCACACATTCAAGAAGTCTTTATATAAGAAGGCTGTAATTAAAAATCTTTCCTGTGGATCAATGCCTAGTCTACCATTGGCAGAAGTTCCTTTCTCTTTGTGAAAAATGCCACAGGATGTTTGACATTCACCTTGATTTAAAAATACAATGCAGCACTTCCTTCACAACTCGAATTATGGCAATCTGACAGCCCAGAAATCAAGACATGTTTTCATGCTCCATTTAACATGGGGGTCTGAGTGAATGGATCCAGATGGCTCCACTATAAGTATTTACTCTCTAATTTTATAACAAATTCTAAATCGCTTTTTGCCCTAACCTACAAATGATAAGCATTCTTTCTGTTTTGTGAAAACTACGTTTATTATTAGCTGTACTTAATGATTATACAACTTGATAAATAAGTAATAGGTAATGCTTCTGGTAGATTTTGTTATTTCAACACTGCAAACATAATTGTGCGTCAAGTTATCAGATGAATAAAAAAATCAAACATAATGAAAGTCAAGGAATAAGTGCAAGCGCTATTAACCGTATTAATGGCTGCTATAGCAACAGAACAATTAAATTCCTTCAACACATGGTGGGAAATGGTGAAGATAAAAAAAGTAGCAGAATGCACATTAACGATTTCTGCTACATATGGCATGTACCTGCTTACCAGATGGAGAACCAAAGGCACAGGAAGAACAACAACAACAACAAGATTCCATTTATAAAGCGCCTTTCACGTCAGGAGGACGTCCCAAGGCGCTGCACAGTTGGGTCATGACCCGAGCATTGGGGAAATGGTCAGGGTGAGGGGAGGGAAGGGAGGGAGCAAGGAGGGGGGAAATGGTCAGGGTGAGGGGAGGGAAGGGAGGGAGCGAGGAGGGGGAAGAGAGTAGAGAGGGGAGCTGAAGGCTCGGTCAAAGAGAAAGGTCTTGAGACTGGCCTTGAAGGAGGAAAGGGAGGAGGCGGCGAAGGCACTGGGGGATGGAGTTCCAGAGCCTCGGGGCTGAGAGGCGGAAGGCCCGACCACCGATGGTAGGGCGGTTGGGGCGGGGGATGTGGAGCAGACCGGAGCCAGAGGAACGGAGGGTACGGGCAGGTAGGTAGGGGGATAGTAGGTTGGAGAGGTAGGAGGGAGCAAGGCCGTGAATGGCCTTGTAGGTGAGGATGAGGATCTTGAAATCAAATCAGTACAATCACTGGGCTATTTACCAAGCTATGTAACTTTGCCATCCACAAAACCTGTGGTTTCTTTTAACCACGATTTGTGTAATGTGAAATTGTAAATGTTTAAATAGCACCTAATATATACATATTATTATAGTGCTTCACCTACAAATACACAATCACTAAGGTTGCAGTAAATCCTGTGAACCACTTTGAGACATTTTGACGGCCCAAGACGCTATATCAAATGCAATAATTATTATAAACAACTTGCATTTAGCAACCTCTGTGTAGGTAGTGTACTGAATCACGTATAATTACTAAAGTACAATAAAGGTAATCATCCCCACAGAAATGGGATGGGGCAGAGTCGTGGAGTCATTTGAAGATGAGGAGGATCTTAAATTTGATTGGCCATTGGCTATCAGAGAACCAGTTGAGCTTCGCAAGTATAGGGGCGATGGTTTTCCAGAGCTTGAGAAGAACAAAATGCAGAGTTCTGGATGATCTGGAGTATGTGGAGAGTTGAGCAGGGGAGGCTGGGACGCGGGACATTGGAGAAGTCAAGAACTGGTACAGCTAGTAATGACCCATTAAATACAGTATTGGCCATACTGTTCATTGTTTAGCATCTGAAAATATAAATTTAAACTTATGGTTGAATGAAGTGCACACACAATCAAAATCCATAAGAATCCTTTCATTTGACATAACCCCTTATATTAAAATTTCTCAAGGTACTTCAGAGTTTTCTATAAAGTGCAGTGGCTATTTGTAGACAAACACAGAGAAGAGAAACTCTTCTCTTTTCGAATATTGCAATGGCAATCTTTAAGGTCACCTGAAGAGGCAGAAAGTACCTTTGGAACTGAGCCTGGCTGAATCCATCACCACTATCCTTGTTAACATTTATGCATAAGTAGTCCCCATTTTTTTCTAAGGAATTCAGAATTTATAATCAACCTCAATCTGACATGGAAACACCTTGCCTCCTATCTGGAAAATATGCATTCTTTAACAATAAAATATTGCAGTTCTCTTCCAGCAAGAAATGTTTTCACCACTTTCAAAGTAGACAACAAAACTATTACTACATTTCAAATAAATATATTGGTAACTATTTTAGCACAAATGCCCCCTTAAGAGAAAATATACCAAGGCAGTTTGAAGACAAATTCTGTCAAACACACACATATTTTATAATGTATATGTATATATACACACAGTATCATATTTAAATTTTAAAATTGGACAAGTGCTTTTGATAATTATAACTATCCTATTACTTAAGCATACCTAAAGAGTAACTTTGTGCACTACAAGAACTAATCCAATAATACTGACATAATTGTCAGAATGAAAATATGCTTTAAAAAGCAGGTGACTTCCTACAATTCACTTTATTCTCAGAGTTTTCTCTCATTTGTTGTTATTTCCCAAGAAGTGGTCTCCTTGTAAATGGAAGTAATCCATAACCAAGAATGCAGATTGGCATCTTATTTCTGATAATCACTAGTAGGTCTGCATCAGAAGCCCACCTTAATCCCACTCCTTGTACTGTCCCGCACCAGGCTTCGCGACCACATCAGTCCCACCCTCGCTCGCTCCACTGGCTCCCCATCCCCCAGAGGATCGAATTCAAGATCCTCATCCTCACCTACAAGGCCATTCACGGCCTTGCTCCCTCCTACCTCTCCGACCTACTATCCCCCTACTTACCTGCCCGTACCCTCCGTTCCTCTGGCTCCAGTCTGCTCCACATCCCCCGCCCCAACCGCCCTACCATCGGTGGCAGGACCTTCAGCCTCTCAGCCCCGAGGCTCTGGAACTCTATCCCCCAGTGCCTTCGCCGCCTCCTCCCTTTCCTCCTTCAAGGCCGGTCTCAAGACCTTTCTCTTTGACCGTGCCTTCAGCTCCCCTCTTGACTCTCTACCCCCTCCTCGCTCCTTCCCTTCTCTCCCCTCACCCTGACCATTCTCCCCCCTGCTCGGGTCCTGACCCAACTGTACAGCGCCTTGGGACGTCCTCCCGACGTGAAAGGCGCTCAATAAATGGAATCTTGTTGTTGTTGTGTAGACTTTGCTAAGCATCTCTCCCAAATAGTACAGCAGACACTAGAAACTCACCACATGGAGATCTCCACATACCCACATTCTCACACTTTTACTGGAAAGGATCAACAGTGCCACACCTCTTCAATATTATTTCTATCCAAGTCACCTAACCTATCTTATACATTAACACCTATACACATAGAAGCATGGAGAAAGGAACTCTCACACATTTTGGTTGCAGAAATGCTACGTGGCATTGGGTAATACAAAAGCAGGAGATGTGAAAAAGTAAGAAGGTTGAATTGACTGTTCATTACTATGAAAGTTTGAGATGTGAAACAAAAAGAAAATACAGTATTCAATAAACATGCATGATAAACATTACAAATAAACTATTAAATTATCAAAGCATATGATTAATTACTCAAAAGGCTCACATCCTCTTTGTGAGGTCTTCCAGTTTGAAAGCGGATCTATCAAAAATGGGATCCATCTCAAATTTATCAACTTCAAAAATTACAACCTGACTCCAGGTTTAAAAAGGATTTTAGGTGTCTTAATGATGGGTCGCTACAAAAAAAATAATAATTTAATTTGGTCTATGATGAAGCTGGTGATCTCAACCCAGATAGTAGATGGGACACAACAATTAGACCCAGTGCTCCTTGCTTTAGGGGAGTGGGAGGAAAATAGCAGATTTGCCATTCAAGACCATTATTGTTACTGGAAAGTGCTCTAGGGGATGTCAGATGAGAACAGGATGGGGCTTGGCCATGATGCTGTTCCACAGTTGAGTGGCCTGGCTGTCAACATTCACAATCAAGGCTCAACACATGAAGAATGACCACTTAGGCAAAATGCATTCATCACATCAAAGTTGGTAGATGACACGAACTCTCTGCTTGCCAGAATATCCGCCTCTTCCCTTCACAAGCTGCAGACTATCCAGAACTCTGTAGCTCCTGCCCTTCACACATCAAGCTCCACCAGCCTATTACCCTCATCCTTGCCTGTTTCCACTGGCTTCCCATCCTCCAGTGGATCGAGTTCAAGATCCTCATCCTAAACATTGAAAATCTCCATCCACTCTACCTCTGCAACCTTATCAAATCCTACCAGCTTGGCCACTCCCTCCTTCCAGTGGGTTCCTGCCTGCTTCACATTCCCCTCCCCAGCATCGGAAGTTGGGCTTTCAGTATATACATAAAATATACAGTCAATTCACTTTATAGTATAATTCTGTGAAGCACTTTGAGACGTTTCAATGACGTGATAAGGCACTATATCAAATGCAAGGAATATTATCTGCCCCCACTCTCTGGAACTCTCTCGGACTCCCTTTTACTTGTCCCTTCCCTCACCTTAGTTAAGGTCCACCTCAAGACCTTCACCTTTGCCTATGCTTTGAGCCATCTTCTCCACACCCCACTCCCACACCCCCAGCTCAGGTCTAAATCCTAGGATGTCCAACATCTTGGAATGTGAAAGACCTTACATCAATGTAAATTTGTAATGTACGATAGCAGAAGGCACTTCAAGGAGGAAGTTCATGAGAAAGAAGCACACCGGGGAAAAGAAAACTTAAAACTTTTTAACAAAGTAATGAATTAACTGCAAAGTTACACATCAACCATGACAAACCTACATCCAAAAGTGCGCGCCTCTTGTCTCCGCTCGCAGCTCTGGGGATCTTTATCAGCAGAAGAGGTAAAAATGTTAAGGAGGGGGGGGGGAAAAAAAAAGAGGGAGTCCTTCAAGGTTGCTTGGGAAAGCACAGCCAAGTAGGAAAATGACACAAAAAAAGGCTCCCCTCCTAATCACACCGTTTGCTCTGCTGCTAATAAAAATCCCCCGAGCTGCGGGCTGCTGAACCCAACACTTTGTGCCGCCCCCCCAAAAAAAAGGGGGGGAAATGCTCCAACCGAATGAATGCAACGACCTGCCCTCCCCTCATCCAACCGGCCCAGAGGCACCGTTAAAACTGTGCAAATACAAAACCAGTGTGTGTCGAAAAGCAGAGGAGCCGCTTCCCAGCTCTTCCGGGGCCCGGGACGGACTCTCTCTCTCTCTCTCACACTCACTCTCTCTCACTCACTCTCTCTCACTCTCTCACCTGTCCTCACACTCCTTGCACTTGATCACCACGGCGGCCGCCTTGCAGAAGAGCTCCTCGGTCATCCTGCTCCTGCTGCGGGCTTTCCTGCTGTTAATTCTGACCTTTTTTTTTAACCCCCCTCTCTCTCTCTCTCTCTCTCGTTCCTCTCTTCAACTCATGATCACTCCGCAGGTGACACGAGCTCCGCCAGGTGGTGTATGTACGCGGGGTGAGGAGGAGGAGGAGGAGGAGGGGGTGGGGGGGAGTGGAAGGGGGAGAGCGAGAGAGAGTTCAAAGCCGGCGGGTAAAACAAGCTCGGGGGTGGGCGAGTTCAGAGGCGAGGCCCGGCCCAGCCAGCCCGGCCCAGGGGTGGGAGTGAGTGAGTGAGTGAGTGGTTGAGCGGGAAAGACAGATCAGCCAGTCAGGGCTCGTGGGCGGGAGCAGCAAATCCCAGGCGGTCACCGGGAGGGCAGGTCACTCGTTCAGACCCGCGGCCCTGTCACGTCCTCCGCACCAGGCGCTGCGCTGTCTCCTTTCCCCCCTTGGCTCCTGACTGCAGCCCCGGCGGGGCCAACCCGCTCCTCCTGGCCTCCTCCGTTGCTAGGGGGGGGGGTCACGCACGCGCCCGCTCGCTGCCCCTCCGTTGCTAAGGCGTGATGCGCTCCTCGCTCTTCCCCCGTTGCTTGGTCGTCACGTGCCCGCTCCTCTTCCGTTGCCAGGGCGTGACGCGAGCTCTCCTCCGTTACCAGAGGATGACGCTCACGCCCCCCCCATTACCACGGTGTGACACGAGCACTCCTCCGTTGCTAGGGGTTACCGCGCCTCTTCCCGGACTGCTTCCCGCCTTCTTCACTGCTCGCCGACGAGCTCGATCGCAGACAAGAGGAGACGATCTTAGAGGAGGACTCGGTGCTGCCACCCCTCCCTCCCCAGGGCTCGGATGAATCAATCAAGAAGCGCTGGAGGTGTGTGTCCATCAAGTCAATAGTGTCAGTCTGGCTCTTGCGTCTTGTTTGACCCTCAACTATCTTTTCTCACCCACATCTGCGCCATGACCCTCTCTGCCTTCCCCCACCTGCGCAATGTCGCCCGGCTCCGACACTCTCACACCACAGGCCGCCGAAACCTTCATACACGCCTTCATTACATCGAGGCTCGACTATACAAACCACTGCTTGTGGGCCTCCCCAACTCCTCCCTCCACAGACTGCAGATCATCCAGAACTCTGCAGCCCGTGTCCTCTCCCGCACCAGGCTCCGAGACCCTATCACCCCCACCTCACCCGACTCCACTGGCTTCCCATCACACAGAGGATACAGTTCAAGATCCTGGTCCTCACCTTCATAGCCGTCCACAGCCTTGCTCCCCCCTACCTCTGCAACCTCCTAACCCCCCACTGTCCTGCCCGCTCCCTCCACTCAGCAGGTTCTGGCCGGCTTCACATCCCCCGCCTCGCTCGCCCCACCAATGGCGGTCGGGCCTTATGCCACTCTGCCCCCACCCTCTGGATCTCCATCCCACAGTCCCTCTGCCTTGCCCCCTCCCTTACCCCCTTCAAGACCTATCTCAAGACTCTCCACTTGAATCGGGCCTTCAATCACCCTCCTCCCCCCCATCCCAACCCGCAGCTCGGGTCCAAAATTCTTGACTGTCCAGCGCTTTGGGACGTCCTCCCGATGTGAAAGACGCTTTACAAATGTGATTTTGTTGTTACATTGCTGGAAGTGAGGTCCTTCAGATGAGGTCCTATCTGCCTGTTCAGGTGGATGTTGACAATCCTGTGACATTATTCAAAAAGAGAAAGTTTCTCCCGATATCCTGGCCAATAAATCCCCAAAATAAAAACATGGCTGCTTGTGGGACATTGCTGTGAGCAAACTGACTATTGCAATCACCCTCAAAATATACAATCATTGCATTTGATAGTATATCCTGTGAAACGCTTTGAGAGATCAACAACATAATTTGTTGCTTTGTCCAATGTAAGTATGATTATTATAAATCCACAACAAATCAATTAAATTAATTTGTTTTTTTCCCGTAGACCCTCCAACTCGCTCACTGCCTCAACTCATTCAATTATTTGAACGCATTTTTGGGCATCTTTCCCCTCCCCCCATCAGTTCCCACCGCCAGTTTGGGTGCCCAGACTGTACTATTCAGTGCTTTGGGACGTCCCCCTAATGTACAACATGTTATATGAATGGAAAATTGTATAATATTGGTCTTATTTTTTCTTTCCTATGTTATAAGTTGTTCATTCACTTCCTGGCAGATTGCGAGACATTGCTGTGCTCAATGTTCGTTGTCTCATTGGTCTACAAAATACACCACAGTGAAATCCCTTAAAGCACTTTGAGACATTTAGAGATACAGTAAACTACTAATAACTTGACCCTGGCCCAGCCTGTCCAAACCACTTAAGCCATTGTGCTATTAATATCCTGGCTGCATGTATTTATACAAAGGCCTAACACACCACTCCAGATAACTTGTCATTGAACCCTTTTCCCTTGGAGTGACGAGTTATCAGGAGTTTACTGTAGTTAAGGAAGAATGCAAGAATTATTATATGGAAACTACATTGCCAAGCCTACGATTTCAGGAGTGCGACTGGAAGCAGCATTTGGTGTGTTTGATCATGCTTGGCCATTCTCCAACACAGCAGCAGGTGTGGTGAACAATTATTTATCTTCTACGGTACTATACATAGCATCAGTAGTGGGCGCAGCTAAAGATTGTGACTTGTACAAACAAAATACCACATCTATTGTGTCAAAAAGAAACGGTTAAGCGCAGTAAGTCAGACCTCTTCCCATTCTTCAAAAATCACAACTTCGTTAATATATTTACATTTTCACTTTTTTTCATTTCCTTGCTCCACCTTCATCTCCCTTAACTCTTCAATCCTCTCCCCACTGCCACACAACCCCTTCCATCTCCTACTGCCCTGGGTCCATCATCAAACTCACTTTCGTCTCCAAGGTACTGGAACGAGTTGTTGCTTCCCAGCTTCGCTCCTTCTTCTCCCGCCACTCCCTTCACAAGCCCCTCCAATCGGGTTTCCGTGCCGCCCATAGCACAAAAACAGCCCTGGTCAAATTGACAAATGACATTCTGTCCATCTGCGACCAGGGCTGCCTCTGCCTCCTTGTCCTCCTTGATCTCTCTGCTGCCTTCGACATTGTTGACCACTCTATCCTCATCCACCTCTCCTCTCACCTCAACTTTCACAGTTTTGTCCTTGAATGGTTGAGATTGTATCTCTCACACTGCCTCCACTTCATCTCCACAACTGGTTTCTCCTTTAGCCCCAGCACCGTCTGGTCCAGCATTCCTCAGGGCTCTGTCCTCGATCCCCTCCTCTTCAATATCTATAGTCTCCCTCTTAATGACATTATCTGCAGACAAGGGGTCAACTTTCACACGTATGTGGATGACACCCAACTCTACCTCTCTGCCTCCACCCTTGACTTCAGGACCACTGCTGTGCTGACAGAATGTCTGTCAGACATCGAGTCCTGGAAGAGACCTAACTTTCTTTAGTGAACTTCAACAAGACCAAGCGCCTCCACACCTCAGGCGCTGACAGCATCACCATCCATGGTTGCACATTCCTCCGAACTAAGCCAGTCTGGAACATTGGCGTCTGGTTTGACCCTCAACTGTCCTTTCTACCCCACATACTTGCCATAACAACAACAAACAACAATAACGTGCCATAACCCGCTTTGCCTCCCCCCACCTCCGCAACATCGCTCGGCTCCGCCACTGTCTTACACCACAGGTCGCCAAAACCCTCATACGTGCTTTCATAACACCAAGGCATGACTATGCAAACTCCTTGCTTGTCGGCCTCCCCAAATCCTCCCTCCGTAGGCTGCAGCCCATGTCTTCTCACCCATCTGGCTCCATGACCTATCACCCCCATCCTCGCCCAACTTCACTGGCCTTCATCACACAGAGGATACAGTTCAAGATCCTGGTCCTCACCTTCAAAGCCTTCCATGGTCTTACTCCCCCCCTACCTCTGCGACCTCCTAACCCCCTACTGTCCTGCCCGCTCCTTCCGCTCAGCGGGCTCTGGCCTGCTTCATGTCCCTGCCTCGCCCGCCCCACTATCGGCAAGCAGTCCTTCTGCCATTCTGCCCCCACCCTCTGGAACTCCATCCCACAGTCCCTCCGCCTCACCCATTCCCTCGCTTCCTTCAAGACCCATCTCAACACCCTCCTCTTTGACCGTGCTCTTGATCACTCTGCTTCCCCCCCCTGCCCTTCACCCTCTCCAATCCCGGCCCCCAGTTCAGGTCCGAAACACTGACTGTCCAGCGCCCTGAGATGTTCTCCCGACATGAAAGGTGCTATACAAAAGTAATTTTGTTGTTGTACTGATCGTGCTCAGTGGATAAGTGAAGTGCTGTATAGCATAATGGAAGCACTGTCATAGTATATAAAAAACGATATGGAGATAGGGCAGGGCGATTTAAATTAAACCTTGCTCTGAGAGCCAATGTAGATTTGATAAGCTGAATGGCCTCCATCTGCAGTGTAAATTTTTATGATTCTTGGTAGCCTCCAGTTTAGTGCTTGTTATCTGGTAGGCATTAACTCAACCTTTGTCCCAAAAGGTAATATGGGTTTCTTGCAAGACAAATGTGATAACATTTACTAGCAAATGATCTAGGAACTACTGTAATGTGGAAAACACCTTTAAAAGCTTTAAACACCTTATTGTATACTTTTAATTAATTTCTAAATGCACAGGAAATAATCAAGAATTTGATGCAATGTGTAATACAAAACATCTCTAATGCACTGATCACTGGTTTATACTGATAAATATTAACAGAGTGCTAAATAATGTGCTCTTTCTTACATTCCAGCACAAAAAATATCCTACAACAATCTTAACATATAGACAAAATCATAAAAAAATTAGTATGTATAATGGGGTCCAAGATGCAATCAGGCATTTTGCATTCATAAACTCACACTTACCAAAACTGGTCATTTCACTGACATCCATAGAATAAAACCTATGCAGTGGCAAATAAGTAAACCAAAAAGCGGAAATATACCAATACTGGGATAAAGATTTTAAAAAATAGTATTGGAGTTAAAACAAAATAGAATTTGAGGCATAATGCTTGGAATGAGAAAAAAATCCCACCTTTTCAAAGATCACCTATAATTAATTCTTTAATGCATTTCATTCATTCATCCATCCAGATTTACTCTTCTGTTCATAAAGTTCTGTAAAATTGTTCTCTGCCCTCAAGGTAAATAATCCAACCTGATAAAAATCAATATGCATCCAACTTATCATCCTATTATTCCTTAACTTTTCCACAGTGTTCCACAATTCCGCTTCACATTCCACACAGCATTCAACCATTTCCATGTGCCATAATCCTTATTAGTTTTTTTTCTTGGAGCACAACCTAATGCTTCAGTGCCCTTTTGAAGGTAGAATGCCCCACAATTGTACACAATGGGGTGAAAATTGTGATCTGTGATGTGTTAATTAGCACATCACTGATAAATGCTGCCAGTTGATAAATTGACTGGCTTGCAAGTGTGACGCATCCCTCCCCTGATTCTGCTGTGCATCAGACTGTCAGTTTGACAGGCTGTGGTCTCAGTGTGCTAGTTAGTGGAATCTCACCTCCAATCAGGTTCATTTTGTTTAGTAAAGCAGGTACCCGCTAACCAGCAGTCCAGTGTCACACTCTGTAAACCAGAAGTCCCAACATGCTGAAAAGTGAGCTTTTCAGCACAATCCTTCAGAAGGGTTTTGGGAGCTCTACCTCCAACCCATTCAGAAAACAATCTACATGCCAATTATCTACTTACTAATTTAAATGCATGTGTTAATTCGTAACATTGGTGTTAATTAACATAAATTCTGGTCAGCAATATCTGCAGCGCCTTTAGTGATGGTTGGCCACTAAGTGAGATTTTCTCACTATAATTATACATTGCTAAAGAAGTTAAATGCAACACCGACTGGAATTTTAGCCCATTCATGTTGCAATTTTCACTCCAAGATATCTTGAGCTATATTGAAACACATAGTCTCACTGATTAGATTGTGAAGATTCATTCTGAAATCAAACCAAAAAAGGATCTTGTGCAATGAGGAAAACAATCCATTCATTTTTACACACGTCACGTTTCGGGATGTCGGCTTGTCAAAAATCCACCTCCAAATGAACTACTATTTTCTTCCCAAAGTGCTCTGAGATGTTACCCTATGAAAGGTGCTGTATAAATGCAAGTTGTTGTGTTGTAACGTTAAACAGAATTGTTACCCACAAATATTTCACCCTCTATACATTACAGCACAATTAGCTTTAAAACATTCGTCACATACATGTTGCCTCTTCTTACATTTTGCATTTGGTCATATGTCTTTCCAAGCATTTCTTATCAATCAGCTGTGGGATCACAAATTCTTTCATATGCCCATTTCCAACATACTGAACTGTGCCATGAATAAACACAATACATCTAAAAAAAAGCTATCCTCTAATTGCCTTGTACACCCCATATGTACTTGAAAATGCAAAGCTGACTTAAGTGAGTTATCACATTTTATCAGTGCCTCACTGTTGTTGTTTTCGAAACAAAGGGGATCAGTTCTTTATGGCAGATCATCTGCTTCTCTTGCCATTCTGTTTATGTTCACATGAGAATCCGTGGCCCATGCTGTCAGAGTTGTAGGCTCAGAGATACCTTAGTAGTATAGGAAGGAGTTAAATCTGCAACAAAGCAAAACATGAATTCCCTGAGTGTCTGCTGGCAATCATGGTGAATCATCAATCAACTGGACATGAATTTAAAAAAAAGCCCTTTTCTTAAATCAAAATGAAATCTTATTGATAATAATAAAAGTCATTGTATTTCATATATTGTCTATAAAGACCAAAAAGCTCTTCACCATAAATTGCTGCTAAGTATATTGCTCTATTTTTATAGCACCTTATGTCAAAACATTTTAAATTCTTCACAAGTAATGGCTTTTGCAAGCAAATGCTATAGCTGTTTCGCATTGCTGTGCACAAAAATGAATGACCAATTTATCTGGATTGCTGGCCAGGACCCAAAAATATCCTTCTCTTTTTGTGGAGAATATTCCTTTCTCTTTTTGTCAACCTGTCAGATGGAGATCAATAGGACTTTGATTAACATCTATTTGAAAGACTGCATCTCTGACAATGCAGCATTCTCACACCACTGCACCACAGAGCTCTACAACATATAATCTTCTGACCAAAGACGAGAATGTTACCAACTGAGTCAGACTGACACTTCAGCATTTTATTATGATTCTGTAAGATTTAAAGTATTTTTTATGAAGAATATGACCATTAATAATTGAAATATATTTTGGTGGATTGCTGCAGGGTTTCAGAGCTGTCACACTTGATTTAGCCCATTTTGTAAATTACACTGCCTCCCTTCTCAATTTTTAACCTCTGTCAAACTCAAATTACAGTATAATATAGCACAGGATCTTACAATGATAAGCTGTGATATATTATTGAGATGCAACTATTTAATTAAGTACTGTGCACATTCAGCACAATACCTAATTAAATACTGAATGAATAAATTAGTGTTATATATGTTCGTTCAAGCAAAAATAAAACAAATCACAGTATCAATTTTTTTTAATTGCAGAATGCATACTTTGTTTATAATACCATTAATATTAAAATGATGATGATAATTCTTTCATTTGGAAAGTCTCAAAGCTCCTTAGAGATTTGTTTTCTTTTTAAAATGTTTGTAAAGTGTAGTTTTACTACACTGTGGTGTATAATCTGTGTTTGTAGGTGAATTTTGAAGTCAATTTACAGACAGTATTGTCCCACAAACAACCAACAGGCGAATGACCAAATGAACTGGAAGAACATTGGTCAATATTATGGATTGGTTAAGGTCTCATGAGCTACATAACACCAGGTGGTTTATGTTGTCTGTCACATGTTTTATATTAATAGTATCACAGTTTATCATTGCAAGATCCTGTGCCATTTCTATTAATATCGTAACCCCTTTCTAATTACTATGATCTTTTTTATATAACCACCTCAGATAGAACATGACCACACACATTTCTTATGACCCTTGAAATACTATAGCTTTGGTTAATCCTCCTCTATATAAATCTGGTCAGTAGGACTTGGAGGCAAATCACTGGGAGCAAGGATTCTTCCCACTTGGCTTCCGTTCACCCCAGTGTGCAAGGTAGTCCTCACTGGACAAGTAGTGGTAAACTTGTCAGACAATGTTCTCAATGGGAAGCTATATGATTTTAGCTGGTTAAACTCTAGCAGTGTCCTATTGTACATTCTGGGTCCACAAGTCTTGGTTCTCACCAACCTTATGCCTAATATTCTCTACAACTAGGTAAGCAGCGGTTCTGGTCAATATTAAAGGTTCTCATGCCATGATTCAAAAAGAGATGTGACTTACTCCTGGTGAACTGGCCAACATTCTCCTTGATAAATTGCTGATTCACTTCATTGCTGTTTGCAGGACACTGGTGTGCACATTGTGGGTGTTGTATTTAATAATAATCCTTGCATTTGATATAGGGCCTTATCACGTCTTTGAGATGTTTCAAAGTGCTTATCTGTCTAGAAATACACTGTCTCCTCACTTTGCAGCAATTCTTGCAAAGCACTTTGTGATGTTTTATTGCCGTATCAAATGCAAGGTTTATTATGTAATAAATTCAATGCGATAATATCAAATATGTTAAGAAACAGCACATTTTCCCCCAGTTTCATGGACAATGGGAATTCCTATACTTCTGTATGTATAACACTTTGGCAATCTTTTCTGCCCCACTCCTCATTCTGCTTATTTGCATTTAGCAGGGGCTCACCAGATGAGAATAATACAGAGAAATAGATTTCCTTTGCTTTAAAATGAATACCAATAGCCACAATAAAAACAGTCAAACACAAATCCTGTTTCATGGAAAGACAGTACTATAAAAATCAACAGCAAGCCAGTAAATAGACGTCTATACTTAGTAAAGCTACACTCAATAAAACCTTACAGTAATAATGTTTTATAAAATTGGAAGCAGAGACGATAAAAAAAACACAAACAAGCATTCCATAGCAAACTTTATCTGAGTGTTGCTATTCCAGTAACTTCATTCAGCAAAATGAAAATTGTGAGAACAGTCACAATAAATACAATTGACAACATTCTATAATTAAGATCCCTCTAGACATAGAGCCCAAAGTTGACCCACGCCCTCATTGGAGTTGGTGACTCATTGAAGACGGCATCTAAGAATTGGGTAGGTTAAGCCAGCTCTCAAATGATAAAATCCATGGTCCAACACCTCCAAAGACTGGCTTTGTGTTCAATCATTTGTACTGAAGTCAGGATGGGATCACCCACCTCCAACCAATAGATAATTCATAACTAGCTTGACTGTGATTATCAATGATATGATTATTATCCCCAATGATAAAAATGACAGCAATTACCTCTCACTTTCAAGTCCTCAAAGTACATTTGCATAAACTCTTTTTCAAATTGTTCTCGATCATCATCATCTCCTAGGAGCTCAGCAAGCATCTCGTCTTCTATACTGTCCAGTGGGGTCTCCCGCAGATCTACATATCTGGAAACAGAAGAGACAACATATTTAAACCATTCATTGAGTGGAAATTATCCTTATTTTGGTAAGTCTGTTGATTAACACAATAATGTAACATTTGGGCCAATTTAGAGGCATCCTGCATAGAACCTTTGAAATTGTATAACATAGTAGGACATTGGGCTTGTTTTTCGTGTTGGTGTTTTCCTTTCCAAGAAGCATCCAGCCTAATACCATTTTCCTTCTCTTTCCTTGTTCCTTCTAATACAATTCAGTATTTAGGTAGAATATAGATCATGCATAAAAGATGCAATTTCTTAGTTAGAAGAAAACCACCCAAAATACACATGGATATCTGAGGACCTTTCCATTGGCTGCTGAACACAGGTTCCATATTCAGAGAACAACAAAGATAGCCCCAAACAGAAATTTTCCCTGGAAAATTAATGCAATTTTCCCCTTTACTCCCCAAGTGATGTCATGTGTCTTAATTTACATCACTAATATATTCTGTATGGAATTTAGATCCCAATGCTGATGACATAGTCTGATGACACAAATTTATTTTGGTACAGAATCACGATTACTACAGAACCTTCAAGAGTTAAATTTGCCAACAGCCCATTTAACAGAAAGAAACCCTTTGGTGTTTAGACTGAATTATGGAACATTCCTTCCTGATCAGTAACGAAACGTAACTGATTTAGGATCGCTTAGAAATCATAAATCATTACCACAAAGTGCTCTTTTTAATGATGTGCACAAGACCCCAAAGAAAACAAGCCAAAAACAAGGCCATAACTCTGCTTGACTGGCTGGAAAACAGGTTGCTGGGACACGCAAGATAATCATTGAAACAATTAAGTTGGCCAGTTTATGTTAAACCAATGTTAAATAACATACCTTCATTTCAAAGCAGCACTGGAGTCTATCTATATCAATCTGTGCATACTCCAGTTTATTATTGACATTGGAGCTCCCCCTCCCCTTATGCTTCTTATTATGCCATACATCCTCGCAGGACATCCTCAATGCACACCTTGCACACCAGTGACTTCTCTGTTAATAACTAACACAAAAAAGCAGCCCTCAGGAGCAACTATTGATAGCTGTGCTTATGAGTTTAAATCTTAACTCTGATTGGCACGTGACTCAGTGGATTACACCAGTCGAATACCTCAGCCAAGCCATCGACTGCAACCTGGAATGAGGGAGAAATGGTCGGTCAATATATCTGGATTCACAACCTTACAGACACACTCATGATGATCAAACATGGAGAAAAATAGAAAGCAGCTGGGGAGACATATACAAAATCATTTAGCTATCCTGGCTCAATGGCAAGGCCTGGTGAGGTCACATCAGTCGAGAGGGAGGGAGGGCGACGTCCAAAGAGGAAGAGAGAATGGAAGAGGGGAGAATTGTAAATTATTAGAGAAAGAGTTAACAAAGTAAAGAAAAATCATTCTTCTGTACTTACTTGAGATTAGGGTCGGTCAACAAAGAACTTGGCAATGACGTTATGTCATCACCACTGACAACCAACATCCTGAGATTAACCATTTTACATAGGATTTGAGGCAGGTAGGTCATTTTGTTCTTCTGCAGGAAGAGGGTTTGCAGATTATCGAGTCTGTACGTAAAATAGAAACACCACATAGTATGATTTATAGCTGCAGAGCTACAGTTAATGAGAATTGTAACATTATGTGTAACCCATTACTGACACGTAAATATCAAGTACTTTTTTTACGCTTACATTCACAATCCCAGAAACCTATTTTTTCTATAGCCAGCATTGCATTTTTTTCCACTCAGCTTGTTAAGATACACCAGATACATAATTTATGTTTACTTCCAGAGCCTTGGAAGATCCTCCCAAACTGAAAGGTGCTATATAGATGCAATTTGTTGTTGTTTCCATTATTCAAATCTAGGGCATCACATATTAAAAAAATGGTCAGCCAGTCGTCTGACACATGCGGAAACCCATCCACATGCTTAAGCGTATCCAAACCAAGATGAGATTTCCATGCATCCCACTTTCACGTGGAAATCGCAGAAATAGATTGTTGGAATGGAATGCGCTCTCTCTCTTCTTGGAGGGGTGCATCCTGCTTACCTATTTCCGGAAAGTATTAGATGCAGGTTGGCAAGAGCCAAGGCTTGGGGACCCCAGAGTGTAAGTTGGTATATGCTGGAGAATAACCAGCTAAAACCACGTAGCTTGCCATTGATATTTCTGTCCGGCAGGAACCAGACTACTGAGACTGCCACAGAGGGCTGGCTCAATTCCAAAATTAACCAAGCATGTCACCTAAAAGCAAATGCTTCCTCCAAAGGCTCAGTGAGCATTGAGATCAGGAAGATTTCAGGTTCTGTGCTTGGTCAGTGGTCAGTCAGCTGATCTCAAGCTGGACAGCTGTAAAGATGCCACATTTATAATTATCCCAAACCTTGAGTTTCAATTTGAAATGAAAGTCGTGCGAAAGGGTATAAAAAGGGTAATACAGATGCATCGCTAAACTTTAAAGTAACCCTTTGTCTCGCCCCCTCTCTTGCTTCCTTCAAGGCCCATCTCAAAACCCTCCTCTTTGACCACTCTTTGGTGGGTGAGCCTGCAGGCCTGTGTTAACATAGGGTAGAGGAATGGGGTATGAAGAGATCAGAGAGATTGGGAGGTGCTAAGGCGTGAAGGGATTTATATGCAGAGTGAGGGTCCTGAAATCAATCTACTCAGAACATCTTATCAGCTTGTGAGTTTGTTCTGAATGTGGGCTTGGACCTAGAAGCTTCAGATCCAGAGGCTACTAGCTAGCCAAACTGATCCCAGAAAGTGTTAAATAAAATATGAAATATGATATGATGGTTCTTATATGTCCCCTGCACAATCTCACACCACTTTGCTTTCAGTCCGACCTAGTTCAAGTTTGATACAGCACTTTCTCTCTCTACCTCTCTCTCACTCATACTCCATGTTCATCTGCCAGTTACCTGTCCAGATCCTGAGGCAGGTCCTTTAGTTTATTGCCACTAAGATCCAGGCATTCGAGGGCTGACATCCGAAGCACACAGATAGGGATGCTTGGGAACTGGTTTGAGGACAGATCTAACAAGGTGAGGTTTTGTAGATCACGTAGCTGAAACACAGAATCATAGAAATGTATAGCACAGAAGGAAGTCATTCAGCCCATCATACCTGTCTGGCTCTCTGAAAGCATAATCCATTTAGTCCCGTTCTCCTGCCTTTTTCCTACACCTTTTTATATTTGTCCTTTTCAGATACTTATCTAATTACCTCTTAAAAAGTTCATTTGGATTCTGCCTAAACTACCTTGTACCTTGCTTGTACATTCTTTAGATAACAGAAATAGCTCTGAACATCTCAAACAGCAGCCAATACGTACAACACATTCAGCACAAGGTCATTTATAGAATCTTACTGTTGGCATCACTTGCATCAGTACTTTCTCTTTTCCTGTAGGAGTCCTGGAGCGTAGTGGTTTGAGCACTTGCCTCGCAAGCGAGAGGACCCGTTTGATTCCCATTTGGCGAGAAACCTTAGGTAAGTTTCCTTACTACACACACCTCTAGCAGTAAGTCAGAACCTGATTGTTAGCCGATTCTGACATTGCTTTCTGGGGTTAATAATCTCTTATAATAATCTCTTATATTTTATATATTATATATATTATATATATGAATGAATGAATGAATGAATGAATGAATGAATGAATGAATGAATGAATGAATGAATGAATGAATCGGTCACTCTGTGCACGACTGTTTGTGGGACACTACTGTGTGCAATTGGCTGCTGCGTTTTGCCCACAAAATATACAATCAATTCACTTTAGAGTAAATTCTGTGAGGCGCTTTGAGACGTCTCAACAAGGTGATAAGGGGCTATATCAAATGCAAGGATTATTATTAAGATTATTATTAGGATTATTTTCTACTTGCTATTTTTATAACAAGGGTGGATTTTATACCACAGAGGCCATTTTTTGAGGATCATCACACATTACGGATGTGAATAATGTACACAAGACTCGCAGAATTTGAGCAACAGTTGAACTTTCAGTTGAATGAAGGAGATGCCTTGTCTCCGCTTTGAATAAAGTGTTTGGTTTATGGGTGTGTTTTTTTCTTTGTTGGCATTTTTTTGTTCCGTTTTCTTTTAATGTTTGGGCAGGTGTTTTTGGCATGATTGTGTTCTGTATCATCTGAATGAAATACAACAACAACAACAACAACAAGATTCCATTTATAAAGCGCCTTTCACGTCAGGAGGACGTCCCAAGGCGCTGCACAGTTGGGTCATGACCCGAGCAGGGGGGAAATGGTCAGGGTGAGGGGAGGGAAGGAGCGAGGAGGGGGGAAATGGTCAGGGTGAGGGGAGGGAAGGGAGGGAGCGAGGAGGGGGAAGAGAGTCGAGAGGGGAGCTGAAGGCTCGGTCAAATAGATTGTACATTGGTACAAATACTTAAGTCAAATCAGTATTACTTTAGCTTTCAAGTTTAGGTTACAGTTTGGGTTTTACAGATTTCAATGAATGTTTTCATTCACTATATCAAAATCGCAGCAAGAAAGAAATCTGATGGAAAAAGTCAACATAAGAGTTCACTACTGAAGTGGCAATTTGTCTTAATGTAACATTTTACATTGAAGGCATTGAAAGTGCAGACAAGAGGGCAAATTGGAGAGATTCCAGGCTGGATTTTAAATGCATTTTTTTAAAAAAAACAATGATAATTAACACATTGACTGATTCTCAGATGTGCAAAACTCCACTGACACCGTTTTCAATGCTGCAGAAGTTGGCAACACTATACACTGGACTTGCAGGTAGCAGCATTTAACAGAATCAAGCTCAGAAGAAGAAAGTTGAACATTTGAGATTTAATTGCTTTACACAAAGTGATGCAGATTTGAAATAGGCTACCCAGGGAGGTAGATTGTTTTAGCAAATTCAGGAGAAAATTAAGTTGCTGTTTTGCAAAGAGATCTTGTGCAATCATATGTTCCTAACTTCAATAACAGAGGGTCTTAATTGAATCTGGAAATAATAACAGTACTATTTAATGTGGGCGTGCTGTCAAATCAGAATTGTTATCTACAGATTCCATCTTTCATGACACCATAAGATATCGCTCCTGGCATGTGAAACTTGTGACAGTTCAGTAAACTTTTTTAAAAAAAGTTATTGAGTTGGCACAATGGTTGAACACTTGCTCCTGATTGCTTTGGTTACCAGTCTAATTGCAAAGGAAATCAAACGTCAACTTGGGACGTTCTCCCGACGTGAAAGGCACTCTATAAATGCAATCTTGTTGTTGTTGTTATGGAATGAATTGTTCAGACAGCACTGTGGCGACATGAGCTGTGGAGAAGAATGTACTACATTTCTGAACTCATGGAAAAAATGCAAACAGCATTCAAACGTTCATTTAAAAAACACACATACCTCGGTGTTTGTTTTCATAATGTTATTAGAGTCAATCTCACCAGGCTCTTCAATAACATTAAAAAACAAAGATTTGATTTCAGTGTTTCGCACATAATCCAAGGTGCCCTGCTCCACATGCCAAAGACTTGTGTTTGTTTTTTTACTGACCTTGATTCATGATGTAGAACAGGAAGTATGAATCTGGCTTCCCGCTCTACATTATTATTATATTATTATGAACAAAATTGGTACTCTCAGCTAGTTAGAATTTCACTCTCCAGTCGCATATGCTCTGATGTAAACCAAAGAAAGATATCAAATAACTGAAACGTAGAAAACAACATACACACACAGTTAAAAACAATTAAACATATTATGTTACTGGAATCACATGAGCAAGACTGCTAAGTCTGACATTTTTCTGAGCTGATCGAAGGAGCTTTGCCTGAACCTTGGCTTCAACTCCAGTCCTCCCAATAATATGCGGAGTGGTGTCGCTCAAGCGAGAAACCTGACTTTGATTTCCGGCAAGGCAAAACCTTGAGCAAGTTTCCTTACTCCTCACGCCTGACAATAATCCCTCAAGAAAAAAACCAATAATAAATTGGTCACTTCAATCCATGACTGTTTGTGGGACACTGCTGTGTGCAATTGGCTACAGTATTTCGCTCACAAATATACAGTCAATTCACTTTACAGTATATTCTGTGAAGTGCTTTGAGACATCTAGAAGATGTGAAAAGCGCTATATTAAATGCAAGGAGTATTATTATTATCATAGGATCATATAATATCCCTTGCAAAAATTTTAACTCTTGGCCTCTCTGTATGCCACACGAGCACTAAAAAACGAATTTTTGTTCAGAAGTATTTCCAGATGGAACAAAGGCAGATACTAAATTAAAAATTCCTGCATTTGTTTAATTATCTTGAACGTAACTTGGATCCTTTGTAAGATGCCAACCAAATGGCAAATTGTTCATGGCATCAAATAACACAAAATAAGTTAAAACATCTTCTGCAGCTCATTGAAGTACAACATGGGTATAATACTTAGCATTAATTTTAAAAGGAATGTTACCAGTTATCTATTTATCAGTTTGGTCAATCAAATTTCGGAACCACTAAGGAAGTGGTACAGACTATTTACTGCTTGTTGTTTGGGTGGTTAAGAGTCTCTGTGACATTGTAAACAGTGCAGCTGGAAGTAATATTCAGTTATTCCACATATTTAAAGGAATTGTCAAGGACAAAGTCTTACAAAACACAGAGGCTTTTTTTTTAAGCAAAAACTGTTATTGAATTTAATCTGCGTTTGAAATAAATTGTTGGCAAAGCGCTCCAAGACATTGCCTTGGTGAAGGGTGCTATATAAATGCAAGTTATTGTTGAAAAAATAACAACTACGATTTAAACCACTTATTTATCCTCTACTTTCCTGCTTAGAAAAAAATCACATCTGTATTTATTGATCAACCATTAAAATGGCCCATATATCCGGATGGGCAACATGGAGGAGAGTTTGCATGGGAATGAAGGTCCGTATTAGTGAGCTGTTGGTAGCCAGCATAAGTTTATGAATGAGTTTCTGTCTTGTTTATCTACGTGCTTCATGTCTTTCCCTCCGTCATTTTCTGTCACTGTTCTCCCTCTTTATCCCTATTCAATCTGTCAGTCGATTTCTCTTCTGCCTTTTGGATCTCTTTATCTCACGCTATCTCACTCACAAGATATTATACCCTTAGATTGTCAATAGGTCAACAGGCCAAGGGAATGCCTGTATCACTGAGTCAGCTGGTTTTCAGCTCATGCATAAATGCATAAAACTATTTTAATTAGAAATATAAACTTTGAAAAAATAATGTTATTCACCCTCCAATTCCTTTTCCCTAACTGTTTTATTTTCTTCTGCCTGCTTTACATATTTCTATCATCTATATCTCCTGAGCTGTCCAAAATTCTCTAAAATTTTATTTTGTTCCACCATCCATTTTGAAGTCAGGAGAAACTTTGGTTTTGTTTAAAAGAAAAGGTTTTACACAGCTCCCAGAGCAAATGTAGCTCCAAAAGAGTGGAAATTGATATGATCATTTCTCAGACACAAGGTCAATCTCTGATGTATTTTTACACGTCAAAATAAGAAAGGCTGCCAACAAGAGAACATATCCTCTACAACATCCAGTTGGAAGAGATAATATAGCTTCAAAGACTTTATGGAACTGTGAACATAACTATCTGGGTATTTTATCAAAATATCAAATGTCTCTGAAGTACACAGCAGATGGTACAGAACACTGCCCTCTGGAGGTTGCACATGGCTCAGTGCCTTAGCACCCAGATCTCCATTAGAAAACATAAGAATCCTTGCGTTTGATGGAGCACCTTATAACATTGTTGAGGCATCTCAAAGCACTTCATAGGATTTTATTGTGAGACGTGTATTTGTAGGCAAACATAACAACCCATTTGCACATCTGAATGTCCCCAAAACAACCAATTTTACTTGAGTGGGGGAGGGATTGATGATCAGGATATTGGGAGAAACTCCCTTCTCTTTTCAAATAGTGCCATGAGATGTTCAACATCAGGCCAAACAGGCAGACGGGACCTCAGTTTAATTTCTCATTTGAAGAGACAGCACCTCTGACAATGTAACTCTCCCCGGGGTATTAGAATGTTAACCTAAACAATAAGTCCCTATAATAATAATACAGGACTCCCTATGTACAGGTTGGATGCATGACCTGCTGACTCAGAGGTGAGATTGCTACCAACTGAGTCAAACTGAGCCAAACACAAATGAGCTGAATGCCCTTCTTCTTCCATACCTCTCTTTGGATCTTGTTATCTCATTAAAGGACGTTACCTCAAATGGTAGTCCTGACAGCTCCATGTTATTTGATACATTCAGCTTCTCTAGGTTTTCACAATTGCCAAGATCTGGTGGGACGCTGGTGAGTTTGTTGAAACTAACATTCAATTCCTTCAGTTTGGTCAGCTTGCCTGTCAAAACACAACCACAAGACTGTCAGTTTACAACAGTTTTTCATTCTTATTCTAAGAGAGTATTGGGGTTAGTGAGGCAAAAAAAACAGTCAAAGTTTCTGCTCCAAATCATTATCCAGCAACCTTTTCTGGAAAGTGAGTATTTGGGGAATTCAAGCTAGTACAGCATTCATTCCCTTGTGGTGATGCCCATGCCACAGTTAAATAGATAGCATTTTAATCCACAGCAGATGAACCAGTAATATTCACCTATGGAATGAATGGAAATATATTACAGCTCATGCTTCTACTGTCACATTGCTAACGTCAAACTGGAAAATCTAGGACACTGATTCCTTGAGTACATAATTCGGTGTTAATTCAAAGCAGGAAATGGATACCATGGAAACTAATATAGCCTGATTAAAAGAGCACTGCATGCTTTGATCACAGACTAAGAATCTGTTGACAAATGCCAGACCAATTCAATAAAGAGATAAGTAACTAACGGCATGGAAGAACAATACCAAAGCCAGCATTTAATTTTCATTAACATATAAAGTAATAGAAAAATAAGAACTTACATTTTTATAATGTCTTATGTGTAGACATGTCTCAAAGTAATTATTTAACCATTTCAATTTATATATTATGATATAAGAATTAGAAAAAGTTTATTAGATTCACTAGGTTAATAGTATGAAGTGCCCTGTGCATTGAAATTCTGGTTGGTGTTAAATATACAAAGTACAATATTAAATTACATTTGTATAGTGCCTTTCACATTGAGAGGACATCCCGAGGCTTTGGGACATAGTACCTTTGGTGATGCACAATTATAATGGATAAATCCCCTGAGTGACTGACATTGCAAAAAGATGTTACATTTAACACCGAGTGGAATTTCAGTTCATTGGGGGCTAATCTCCAGAGGGTAGAATGCATCTAACTAAACAGACTGATTCTACTGCTTGATAACTTTGTTCTGGGAAATCTGTGCCTCAACCCGGAGGATGATAAAGTGAGACAGATTCACCTGGTGGGTTCTGTCACCATGACACATGCTCAGCATTGTCAGATTCACCCCAACAGAAGGCCTATGGCTTATACTTATACCAAAATTAGTAAGCAAAAATATGAATGAAAATAGCACCATAATAAACCCAACCCTAGTAACATATGCATGAGCTACTCCTTTTACTGTATGAGATGGGACTCGGACATGCAATTGGCTAAATACTTCACATTATCTACCATCAGCAAAGCCCTTGGTATACAAGAAATGCAAAATACTGCAGATGCTGGAAATCTGAAAACAAAAACAGAAGTCGCTGGGAACACTCAGCAGGTCAGGCAGCATCTGTGGAGAAAGGAAAGTGAGTCAACATTTCGGATTCACGACCCTTTGTCAGAACTGTGGCATGTTGGGAAGGAGAGGCTTTTAAAGACTAACAGAGAAGGGGGAATCAGGACAAGGAAGACAAAGAAAATGGGGAAGTTGCTGGGTTATTACTATATTTATTTCTGCTGTGGAGCTAACACACAACCTCACACACATCACACAGCTGGATTTTCTTTTCTAGCAGCACAAAGGTAAATGTTAATACAGTGTAGAGTTAAGATCAGAGAAAGTGATAGAACAGCCACAGTCATAGAGAACAAAATGGAACTTCAGAGAGATTCAGAGAACAAGAGAGAGAGAGAGAGAGAGTGAAAGACGATGATGTTGTTCGCCTCAAAAGGGATTGAGACATTTGGACAATAGCTAATAGAAAAAGAATGAAACATAAGCAGATTCTGTTTTCATTGGCTATTTTATAAGAATTTCAACGACTTTGAGGCTAGCATTTACAGCTGTCTTTCTCAGAAAGAGATGGATGATCAGGCAATGGACACAGAGATTAGTGCAAAAAGGTTTGGGACATTAGGCATGATTTTGTATGTTAACCTCTCCTCCCCTTATTGAAAGCAGGTGCTATGACAAACCAATGCATTCTGAAATGCTACAATTTTCAGCCCCAAATTAAATCTTAAATCACAAACTCAAACCAGAGCATCACATGGTCAGTACAAATGAAGCTTACCTATTGCTGCTGGCAGTTCCTCGATACAGTTCCTGGATAAATCTAACACAATCAGATCCTGAAACATTTCAATAAAGGCTGGAATGACTTGTATGCTTGTTTTCTGAATATGCCATTCTCTAAGGTAAGTCAAGTCTCTTAAGGAATCAGGAAGCTCCTGAAGCAAAAATGACATAAATCATATTAGAAAGTATTTATATTTTGTGGTAAATAGAAATGTCATACAGTGAGAGCAAGCATTTCTTATCATACCCCCTTGTAGATGTGAGAACAGACATGTACTGATATTATTTCTTAAAGGCCCAAACAGCCAGCTGTTGCCTTGCAATGTCTGAGGTAAGATTATCCAGATCATGCTCTTGCTTGAGATTAGTGGATTTATCTCCCTCATCCCTGTTCTACCGAGGTTGGTGACACATAAGAGACCCTGGGCACTCACACTCTGCATTTGACATCTTCACTTGTAACGGAACACTCCTCTAGCACAGAGGCTAGAACCACTTCCACTTGATGAAGATGGCGTCGAGTATGTGGAACATACACATTAGGATGTGGAACGAATACGATGGGCAAGACATGGAATAATCCTTCAAGTCCATCCATGTTGTACTACTACATGAGAAATTTCCTTTAGTGTAACTTGCCAACACCCAGAGATTATACAGTTGCTTCTGTGTGATCTAAAGTTATAATGGGAAGCATAGTTTCCACAAACCTGCCACTGTAATCCAGATAGTTCAAAAATGAAGCTTTTCTCTTCGATTGTGATATCGTTTTTTTGTTTTGGCAAAATAAAGTTTCCATATCCAACCTGCTGAGTTGTTCGGGAGCTGCTTAAGTGATTTGGTCCAACACGAACTTCCCCATTTACTAGGTCCGTTCTCAGCGCACAATAATTTCTAATGGCCCTTTTTCTACATTCAATCAGCAATGTCCACTCCTCATTAATCCTTAAACAAAAGAATGATAAAATGAGATTACTACTGTGAGCCTGGCTAAATTGGTATCAGTCTCGCTTCTGAGTCAAAACGTTGTGGGTTCATGCCTTGTTAGAGGTGTTTGGAAGAGGTGTTAAACCTCATCCTCACCTACAAGGCCATTCACGACCTCGCTCCCTCCTACCTCTCCAACCTACTATCCCCCTATCTACCTGCCCATACCCTCCATTCCTCTGGCTCCGGTCTGCTCCACATCCCCCGCCCCAACCGCCCTACCATCGGTGGCCGGACCTTCAGCCTCTCAGCCCCGAGGCTCTGGAACTCTATCCCCCAGTGCCTTCGCCGCCTCCTCCCTTTCCTCCTTCAAGGCCGGTCTCAAGATCTTTCTCTTTGACCGTGCCTTCAGCTCCCCTCTCAACTCTCTACCCCCTCCTCGCCCCCTCCCTTCCCTCCCCTCACCCTGACTATTTCCCCCCTCCTCGCTCTCTCCCTTCCCTCCCCTCACCCTGACCATTGCCCCCCTGCTCGGGTCCTGACCCAACTGTCCAGCGCTTTGGGACGTCCTCCCAACGTGAAAGGCGCTCTATAAATGGAATCTTGTTGTTGTTGTTGTTGTTGTTGTAAACCAAGTAGGCTATTCCTCCACTGGAGGAATAAAGGTTAATCCCAATTCAGTTCTTACTTGAATCCACACCCCAGTTTGAATAATGCTCAGCAGCCAGAGTGCTGGCTGATTTTTTCTCTCTCTACCCTAGAGGACACTGGGTTCAATTATTAACTGCTGCCCATTTGAGATCAATGCACTCAGCATAAATCAGGGTTCAAGCCCATCACCTTCTATTTATGTAGTGCTCTACCAGCCAGTGGATTTACCCAGTAAGCCATTGGAGAAGGGTCTAATAATAATAATAGTAATAAAAATAATAATACTTGCATTTGATATATAGCACCTTATAAATCTTTGAGACATCTCAAAGCACTTCACACAATAGACTGTAAAGTGGAATGTATATTTTATGGGTGAACGCAGCAACTAATTTGCACACGACAGTGTCCCACAAACAGCCATGGTGCGAGTGATCAATTTTATTCGGGGCTTTGTGTGCTTTTAATGACAAGCAGAAAAAAAGAGAAAATCTCATGCTTCGTATTTAACAAAAAAATATTTTATCATTGGTGCTACGATATGAATAAGTTGTCAGATTCAGCTGAATTTGGGCACACATGCTTCAGGAAACACTTTGGATGTGTTGGGTTTGCATTTATTACATTTGACTCATGTGCTAACCCGGATCTTAAAAGAAACTCAACTTACCTTGCTAGTGCACTCTTCTCCTGTCTTTCTCGCTCCCTCTTTTGCCGGTCTTTGTGTTTTTTTATTCTACCTTCCCATTTGGCTCTCAAAGTTGTCAAATTAACTGAAACAATAACAGGAGCCATGCTGACGTTTTCCACCACCTTTTAAAAAATCTTTTGGCAGAAGGGCCTGTGGTTCGGGGAAAAAGAACAGTTTGTATCACAGAATGTTAAATTTAGCAAAAGCACTTGTGAAAATTTTGTTGAACTTATGTTGAATGTGTGATGACATTTTTGGCATTTCCTGAAGTGTTTATTCACAACAACAACTTGTATTTATATAGCGCCCTTCATATACGATAATGTCTCAGAGCACTTGACAAGGAACATATTACGAAACAACATCAATTTCACCTGTTTCCAAAACTGATTCTCAGTATTTGCTGAACATGAAGTAAGAATAATAATTCTCACATTTGATATAGCGCCTTATCATATTAAAACATCTCAACAACAATGCATTTATACAGTGCACTTCACTTAGGATAACGTCTCAAAGTACTTTACAGGATTTATTGTAAAGTGAAATGAACATGCAGCCAATTTGGAGTCCTGTAGCTCAGTGGTTAGAGCACTCGCTTTGCAAGCGAGAGACCTGGGTTCAATTCCAGGCAGGTCAGGGCGAAACCTTGGGCAAGTTTCCTTACTCCACACGCCTAATAATAATCCCTCCAAAACCAAAACCAAGAATAAAATTGGTCATTTTCAATCTACGACTGTTTGTGGGACATTGCTGTGCGCAATTGGCTGCCGCGTTCGCCCACAAATATACAGTCAATTCACTTTACAGTGTATTCTGTAAAGCGTTTGGGACGTCCTCCCGACGTGAAAAGCGCTATATCAAATGCAAGGATTATTATTATTATTATTATTAATTTGTGCACAACAATATCCCACGAACAGCAATGAAGTGAATTTTCTCAGAGGGATTGTTGTCCAGGATATTGAGAGAAACTCTCTTCTCTTTTTGAAATGTGTCTTGAGCTCTTGAACATACAGCTATACAGACAGACTGTACTTCAGTTTACCATCTCATCTAAGGACGGCATCACTGACAATGCAGCTCTCTACTCCCCCAGCACAGCATTGGAATGTCACCCTGAACTTTGAGGTATGAGCTCAGATTCCCAACCCACAACCTTCTGATTCAGAAGCAAGATCGATATCAACTAAGCCGAGAGCCAATGATGCATATGAAGTATATGGTTGCCACTCACATCAGTATCGGTCGGTCTTACAGCACGGAGTCCTGTAGCTCAGTGGTTAGAGCACATGCCTCGCAAGTGAGTGACCTGGGTTCGATTCCCAGCCTGGCGAAATGTTGTGCAAGTTTCCTTACTCCACACGCCTCTGTTTAGCTAGCAATAAGTAGGAACCCAGTTGTTAGTCGATTGGTGGATTGTTTTCCAAGGGATAATAATTCCTTCCAAAATTTTTTAAAAATAAATAATAGATTGCTTATTTCAACCCATGACTGTTTGTGGGACACTGCTGTGTCAATTGGCTGCCACGTTTCGCCCACAAATATACATCAATTCACTTTACAGTATATTCTGTGAAGTGCTTTGAGACGTCTAGAAGACATGATAAGGCGTTATATCAAATGCAAGGATTATTATTATTATTTATTGTGAAATCATGTATAAGTGAGATTAGGCATTGAGTCCACAGCCACCAGACTCCCGACACGAATGTACATCCATCAATATTAGTCACTGACACAGGTAGTAGGCCTAGCACGATTATATGTAGCCATGTCCAGCAATCATAGAATCATAGAATTATACAACACAGAAGGAGGCCATCCGGCCCATTTTGTTTGTGCCGGCTCTCTGAAAAGAGCTATTCAATTCAATCCCAATCCCCTGCTTTCTCCCCATAGCTCTGTGTCCTCCCCAAATAATTATCTACTTTTCTCTTAAGAGTTGTTATCGAATCAGCTTCCACCACCCTTTCAGGCAATGCACAAGTTATCGACCCACCTACCAGTGGAAATAGTTTCTCCCTGTCCACCCTATCGAATCCCCTCCTAATTTTGAAAACTTCTATTAAGTCTCCTCTTAACCTTCGCTGCTCCAAGGAGAATAATCCTCGCTTCTGTAGCTTCACCCGATAACTGAAGTCCCTCATTGCTGGTATCATCCTGGTAAATCTCCATTGCACTCTCTCCAATGCCTTGACATCCTTCCTAAGGTGTGGTGCCCAGAACTGAACACAGTCTCCAGCTGTGGCCTAATCAATGTATTATAAAAGTTCATCATAACTTTCTGACTTTTGTATTCTGTGCCCCTATTTATAAATCCTAGTATCCTGTATATATTATTTTCTTTATCTCCCTGTCCTGCCACCTTCAAAGATTTACTTATATGAACCCCCAGGTCTCGCTGTTCTTTCACCCACTTTATGATTGTACCATCTAGGTTATTTTGCCTCTCCTCATTCATCCTCCCAAAATGCATTCACTTTGCATTTCTCCACATTAAACTTCATCTGCCACGTGTCTGCCCATTTTACCCATCTGTCTATATCCATTTGCAGTCTGCTACTATCCTCCTCACTGTTTACTACTTTTCCTAGCTTAGTATCATCTGCAAACTTGGAAATTGTACTCCCTATACCCAAGTCCAGGTCATTTATATAGATAACAATAATCCCTCCAAAACAAAAAAAATAAATTGGTCATTTTCAATCTACGACTGTTTGTGGGACATTGCTGTGCGCAATTGGCTGCCGCGTTCGCCCACAAATATACAGTCAATTCACTTTACAGTATATTCTGTGAAGCGCTTTGGGATATCTAGAAGACGTGAAAAGTGCTATATCAAATGCAAGGATTATTATTATATTATTATTATAAAAACAACAGTGGCCACAATATTGACCCATGGGAGACACCACTGCACACTTGCCTCCAGTCAGAAAAGAACCATTCATCACCACTCTCTGCTTTCTGTCTTCCAGCCAGTTCTGTATCCATGCTGCCACTGTCCCTTTAATACTGTGGGTTTCTATTTTGCTTACAAGTCTCTTATGTGGAACTTTATCATACGCCTTTTGAAAATCCATATAAAATACATTTGCCTTTAACAAATCCATATTGGCTAACCTTTATTAACCTATATTTTTCTAAGTGAAAATTTGTTTTGTCCCGGCTTATAGTCTCTAGAAGTTTCCCCACTATTGACGTTAGGCTGACTGGCCTGTAGTTCCTGGGGTTATCCTTCTGTCCCTTTTTGTATAGCGGAGTAACATTTGCAACCCTCCAGTCCTCTGGTACCACCCCAGTGTCCAAGGAGGATTGAAAGATTGTGGCCAGAACCTCCGTTATTTCCACTCTTACTTCCCTTAGTAACCTAGGATGCATCCCGTCCGGACCGGGTGACTTATCTATCTTGAGCACCGACAACCTTTTTAGTACCTCCTCTTGGTTTATCCAATTTCTCTACCCTCTCCTCCGATACTATGGCATTGGCTGCATCCTCTTCTTTTGTGAAGACAGATGCAAAGTAAAGAATTCATTCAGTACGTCAGCCATGCCTCTGCCTCCACAAGAAAATTTCCTCTTTGGTCACTAATTGGACCCACCCTACCTTTGCCTAACCTTTCATTCTCTATATGCTTATTAAGGTACCCTTTTATGTTACCCACTAATCTTTCTCATACAATCTCTTTGCCCCTCTTATTTTCTTTATCAGTTCTTCACTGTACTTTCTATATTCTAGTTGATTATCTTCCATATTTTGGATCTGACATTTATCATAAAACTCCTTTTTCTGTTTTATTTTAATCCCAATTTTCTTGCAATTCACAGCGAATGCAGACAATTAGCAATGAGAGACTCGCAATGTACAGGGGAAGCGCAGGAGAGAACATTAAAGTGGTGTACCAGGTAGCCTGCACAACTTTGTTTCAATTATAATCTTAGTTTGTTTAATTTGCTCACCTTCCGGGCTGAACATTCACCCAACTCCAGACAGTAAGTGCTGCCATTCTAATTGAATGGGAGCAAACTCCTCGCACACACTTTCCTCTCGGGGTCACTGGATTGTGATCAAGATTAGGAACTCTGGGTGATTTTCCCCTTTCCTATATCTAGAGAACTGGACCTGGGTCATGGTCTGACTGTCCCAGTTTCCCATTACCAGCTGAGTCGGTAGCAGATGGGGCATGAGGGATGGAGTGAAGAAGGAGCTCATAAAACACTTTTACAAACTTATACAGCATGTCATTTACATTAAATGAAATTTGGATTTGTAAGAATTTGTTTGTCAAAATTAGCCAGATTTTGTTTTGATGATGCCTGGCATCAGATGAAGACAACATTATCTTTAGGGAGGACAAGTTTGCATGGCTATGGGGAGAGTGCGGGGGAGTGGGATTGATTTGGACAGCTCTTTTAAAAGAGCCAGCACAGACACGACAGGACGAATGGCCTCCTTCTGCGCTGTATAATTCTATGATTGGACTCAGGAGTGATGTGGTGCCTCTGCAGTTGAATATCTTGCTGTTGCTCAGACACCAAAAATAGCCACTTAGGCAAGGAACTGGAGCAAAACACGGACTTTTAGATTTCATACCCCAACACCAGACAGTGACTTCAGGAGACAAGGAGGAGAAAGGAGGAGGTTGATGTTACAGATTCAACAAATAAACCACGCACATTGTTTTTGTTTCCAGGAACTAGAAACTTTCCAGGCTCCCAACCAACACATCCAAACGGAAATCAAACAAACATCAGATTTAGTGATTCCAGCTCGCTGGCTGTGAGGATTCAAGGTTATCATCTGACATGATCTGATAATAAGATTAAAAGTGGAAGTTGATAATCCCAGGTTGTGATTTGACAAACAATTCACCACTATTATATCTGCAGCAGGGTTTCTACCTGGAACACAATATCAATGTGACTGTTTAAGACCACTGGCTTTTTGCTCACCTGATTCAATGAGATGTTCTGGTGACTGAAAGCTCCAGACCTGGCTCTTTTATTTCAGTTTACAGTCTGCCTCCCTGTTTACAGCTCCTTTGACAGGCATCCTTTACACGGTGGGTCAGAGATACCAAATCTCCAGTGTGACTCTTCACTCAGTTGCAGTAATGTGCTATTTTTGTCCTCTGTTGACACCGCCTGTGAGCTGTGTATCAGATATACGTGGACACTGAAACATCCAAACCATGCAGAGCAACACAGAAAGTCTCAAAGGTCAAAAAATCTGCAGAATTAATACAACTGTAATTGCCGAAGGACAAAAATATCAAAGCGAGCTTCCTTGCTAATCTATTTGGGAATAGCTTCATTAAAGCGATTTTTATTTCAGGTCAGTGTTAAAGCAGTAATTCTACTGCAGATTGAGTAGATTTAATGTGGGTCTTGGTGCCTTTAGACTAAATGTGGCATTACTACTGTGCTCATGTTCCGCTGCATAGTAGTTTAATGGTATCTGAGTCACTTCGTATGTTGAGAGTATTACGAAACTAAGGAGAGTATTTTTTTCTTTATCTGCCATTCCAATATAATGATTCTACCATTTAACAACTTAATCATAGAAAATAGTTAAGTTAATTACGCCCAATTAATTTTTTTAAGTGCATAAATTGGGGAATTTGTTTTTTTCTGCTTGTTCTAGAGCATTGTTTTGATTTGTTTTGTTTCTTTCCCTCTTCAATTATAGGAACATGGTCATTGACCATTACAGTCTATCTGGTCAATCCCAAAGTAAAACGTAATCTACAATTACGCACCAATTCTCAAACCAACACATTTTTCTAAACTGTTTAATAATGAGATTTTTCGTTGTAAAGAAATGGTGTTGGTTGCGAGCTGTTGTTGCTGCCAATGGAGCACAGTGTTTCAGCGTTATTATTATTATTATTATTATATAGTAAGAAACTCTGAAATAAACTTAAATTATTTACTCTTTTTTCAGGTACAAACCCCATACCTCCCCTCAACTTCAGTGGCATCACACAAGATACCAGGAGTTCAATCTGATTCAAGATGGCATGAAAAAGACTCAGTAAGCAAAGGTTATTTTAGAGTTTCGGACTATATAATAATCATAATTATATAGCCTTACATTTGATAGTGCGCCTTTCATGAGGATGGCTCAAAGCGTTTCACATGATTTACTGTAAAATGTAGTAATTGTGTGTTTTGATTATCACATTACATATTGCATTTTTCACCTCTACATCTCAGCTCTTCATAACTGCTCCCTATTTAGCCAACAGTTTATGAATGCCTAGAGAAGATTAGTTGATATCATCAAGTCCCGATCGGCCTTCTGTTTATTGTTTTGGTTAGTGGTGAGCTCCATCTTGTGGCTTAACTGAGACCTGACACGATATTTCCTACATACTGCAATTGCACTTGAGGGCAATCTGCCCTGAAACTTGAATCCTTGCCACAACCTTCTGACTGGAATTCAAACCAGTGTTTGAAGTACCATGTAATTGAGCTGTTCTCTTAACACTAGAGATCAAAAGCCAGACATGTCTACACGTTCTATTTGTAAAATAATTTCTCCTGTTGTGACACTTTGGACCACTCTAGAACTAAACAATTAAATTAACAAGTGAAACAGACAGATGGTAGGATTTGGCCCGGGCTGTGTGAAGATTGTTGCTCCTCTTAGGTGCTGTCCATCGGAGGGGATGTTGAACAACCAACTAGTGCGTATCCTCCTTGGGGGGAAGGTAAGCGGGGTATCCTTGGAGCTAAACTTGGCAAAGGAATGTCAGAATCGAGCCAGCCCTCTGTGGTAGTCTTGGTAGTCTGGTTCATCCAGGGCACTACTACGATGATCCAGCCTGGTTCATCGGCATGACCTTGAAGGGAAAACCAGTCACTGGATGCAAGGAATCATCCCACTCAGCTCCTGTTAACGCTGCAAGCCAAAGCTTAGAACCAAATTTGCTAAATTATGATCTGTGTGGCTTTCTGCTACACCCACTTAGAAACTGTGGGAACAATTCCATCTTTTTATGTTGCAGAACCTCAAGAAGTTGCCTTTTATACCACTTTATTACACATAATTGCCTCAAGGTTATTTCAGGCAAATGCAACAATAATTTGCACCACTAAAGATCCACTAAAGATCCACAACCATGAAATGAATCATCAAGTTACTTAAAGGACTGTGGCCAGAACACCAGGAGATCCTCCATTCTTTTATTCTCTTGTCATGGGATCTTCAACATCCAGCTTAACAGAAAGATGGGAGCTTGGTTTAACATCTCATTCAAAAGACTCAACTCCAATACTCTCCTACTAAAGTGCCAGTTTAGAGTATGAACTCTAGTCTCAATGTGAAGCATGAACTTATAACCTTCTGTTCCAGAGGCAAAGTGCTCTACCAACTGAGCCACATAACACAATGAATAGCAAACCAACAATTAAGAAGAGTTCAGATCATATACAGTAGCTTTTCAAGCAGATTTTGCAATTGCTTCGACTGTTTACACAAATAACCTTATTTTGTTATTCTCATGTTCTTTTACTGTTTGATAAATGTTGTTAAATGTTGTATGAACTTGAAATGACACCAGAACCCCAGTTTTCTGATATCTGTTTGGAGCCGTGTTCTTGTGGGTCATTGTGACATACATGGGACACATGGGGTTTCCTGGGGGAATGATCTTTACTTCCTGAGACACTTCTCCGAGAGAGAGGAGTCATTTGTGCTGACATGTTCCCAATGGGGGCTTCTGCAATCCCACTGAATCGTGAAAGCATAACTCCTACGCTTTTAGAAGGTTATTCATTGACTTCGAATTTGAGGAGAGCAACCCAAAGACTAACATAGTACAAAACCAGCACAGCATGACTCTGTCACTACTTGAAACCCTAGATGAGGTCCGTTATCATTGGCATGAACACCCTGTGACCAGTGTAATTTGGATAATGGATGTCTGCCAGTCATACCTTTGGCAAGTATTTATTTTTACAAATAGATGTTCTCGTGCAATGGAGCAGACCCACAAAGAACTGTAGTAAATCGTCTTACAAATTAAGACTGACTTTAGGAATTTTCCAAAAATTATGCATGATCTTAAATGTATTGTCGAAGGTGCCATCCCTCAGAATAAGATATTAAATCGACATTCCATCTGCCTGTTCGAGGAAGTGTTCAAATTCCTATGCCACTATTTGAAAAGAGAACAAAGTTTCTAGTGGTTTCCTGCCCAACAATCCTCCAGATAAATTGATCCTTCACACAATGGTGGTTTATGGCATTCCTATACACAAATTGCCTCTCATGTTTGCAATACCATCACAGTCATTACACTAGATAAAAATTGCTTTTGAAGCATTTTGACATTAGTAATAATAAATAATAAGCCTTATATTTGATATAGCACCTTATTGTTTTGTCATGGAAACATGTCTAAGCACTTCACAGGATATACTGCAAAGTGTAGACACTGTGTTTGCAGGCAAACACAAGCATTGCACTGGAGTATCAACTAGGTGGACCTTGAGCTCACAAGCTTCTGATGCTAAGGCACAGGGCCTCCAAATGAGTGTAGGACCTAAATCAAATGCAAAGATTATTACAATATCAGGTACTGGAGGTTTCTCTAAATCTATACTCTAGCACATTACAATGTCTTCAAGTAGAGATTACTGGGAAAAGGAAAAAAAGAAGATACATGTCCTAATAAAGAAATTATTTATTTATTATGACATGTACCTTCTTTTTTTCCTTTTTTACCAATGCTGAGACTGCACTGACCACAAAAGTCACTTAATGTTTACATCTTTTTTATAAGCTGCTATCCTTTGAGTTTATATGACACTAGCATTGTTAAACAATACCCAGTTTTTAACTTGATGCCTGCCTTTTTAAAATTCTCTCAGATGGGCATTTATTACATGGTTGTTTGCAGATTAATTAATCACTGTTTTTGCCTACAAATATATGATAACTACACTTGGCAAACATTACCTGTGAACACTTTGAGGCATTTCAATATTCTAGGGATAATTTATTATTATGATTATCATCATTAATAATTATTGTTAATAATACTGGGAAACAGTAATTATTAACTATTACGACTAATAATAACAATAATAAAGTCCGCGACTGGGTTGGAAACAGGGAAGCAGGCCACAAGAGAAGCAAGAGAAGCAAAGTAAGCCATTGTGCTTCAAAATGGCGATAGACTTAGAGAATAAAAGGATAATATACAGTCAATTCACTTTACAGCATATTCTGTGAAGCCCTTTGAAACGTCGAGAAGACGTGAAAAGCGCTATATCAAATGTAAGTATTATTATTAGAGCTCCTACCCTCTGAAGGAAACGTTTTGCAATAGTATCTGAACACCAAAGGTAATGAACAAGTAGTTCAGTGTGGAATGGCAACACAAATCAGAGGACTGTTGTGCTATTGTGAGAAATGGTCATTAATATTACTGTACCTATTGCCTTCATCCTTGGTTTGAGTTGATAACTAACAAGAAAGGAAATGGGAGAACAGAGAAATATTCAGTGTCAAAAGCTGTGCATTTCTTTTGTATTTCTTCGAATGCCTGAGTGAACCAACACCTTGACTCTGAAGAATCCTTTTATTCTGCAAGAGCTGGGAACGGCGTCTCTTTAATAACAGTCTTAACACATTCATCAAAACAATGAGCAGTGACTGGAAACCTCTGCATACCTAGACTTCTTCCTAAAGCTGATTGATTTGGCAAAGGCACTATACAATTGCAAATCCGCCAGTGCCAACTGCATTGAGACAAGATTTTTTTTCCATATCTTGTTACATTGAACCCTGATGCTTTAATCTGGGCTCAGTTTGTAAATCTCCAGTCAGATCATGTGGGTTTGACTCTTTTCCATTGCCGAGTCTCAACAGGACAGGTGCATGGCTGCAATGAAAATACTTGAATGTGGAAACAATTCTGCTCTGTTTATTAGATTTGCCGTAAAGTCTTATTTTTTTCCCAGTCCAATTCGCTTTTCTTGAAGCTGCTGACTCATGTTTGAGTATTATTCCAAAGGCATTGGCTCTGTCTGAGCCTTCACCCAGATGACTAATTTAAATGTGTATGCCAGACAGTGAGTGTTGGCACAATATTTCACTGTGGGGACATCACAACCCAATCCTTACTCTCAAATAAAATTCACACATATACAGTATGTGATGCCCAGCATGGGCCATTGGATAGGGATAAGGAACAAGAATCCTGACTGTTTTTTCCTCCCCTATCCCAGGAGTACTGAGCACAATTGTGGTACTTCATCTGGGATTGGTTAACTGGGCACAGACCAGGAATAGGAATGCAAATCTTCCAGATCTGCATGGGGCAGTTTCACACTTGACAATGGTTTTATCAAGGGAACCATTGCGGGGAGGTGAAATAAAGACACTTTTAAAAATAAATAAGATGAAATACAGTTCCTACAACCTGTTGCTCTTTTCGAGTTTAATGATTTAATGTTATGTCGAAGGTACGATTTTTAAAAAAAAATTAAAAAGTGAATGGGATAGGAATGTGTATCTATTGTCGCTTATACTGTTTGGGAAAATTTGCTTCTTAGAACATGGTGGTGTGATGGGAGGTGGGGGGAAAACATTGCCCAACAGCTACTGCTTATGATTATATATATTATTCTGAGTACCAATGCTGCGACTGGAAACAAATACTTGAGGATAACAATATAATAATAATAATCCTTACAGTTGATATAGCATCTTATCAAGTCACCGAAATGTTTCAAAGTGTTTCAAAGGATTTAATTGGAAGTGTAGTTACTGTATATTTGTATGTGAACGCAGCAGCCACAAAGTGAATGATCAATATTTATCTGGGGGATGGTTGGCCAGGGCATCAGGAGAAATTCCCTTCTCTTTTTGGACAGTGCTACAGGATTGTTAACATCCATTCGAACAGTCAGGTTTAATACCTCAACAACAACAACAACTTGGATTTATATAGCGCCCTCCACGCCAGGCGACGTCTCAGAGCGCTTTACAGTTTTGGATCCTGGGGCCGAGACAGGGGGAGGGGGAGGAAGGTGACCAAAGGCGCAGTCGAAAAGAAAGGTCTTCAGCAGAGACCTGAAAATGGGAAGGGAGGGAACGAGACGAAGGGAGTGAGGAAGGCAGTTCCAGAGCCTCGGGGTACAGTGGCTGAAGGCACGGCCGTCAAGGGCGGAGCGGAGGACTTGGGGGACGAGGAGGAGGCCAGACCCGGAGGAACGAAGGCAACAGGTACTGTTTTGAGGAGAGAGGAGGATTGAAGGATAGCACCTTGGCAATGTGACACACCCACAGCACTGTATTCAAGTGTCAGCTGAGACTGTCAGCTCAGAGTCAGTATGTGGAGCTTGAACCAATAATCTTCTGACTCAGAGGTTCAATCCAAGTGTGATTGAAGAGGGGTAAATTCAGAAGGAATCTATGCAAACACTATTTTAGTGTGGAGTCCTGTAGCTCAGTGGTTTAGCACTCGCCTTGCTAGCAAGAGACTTGGGTTCGATTCCGGCAGGGTGAAACCTTGGATAAGTTTCCTTACTCCACACGCCTGATAATAATCCCTCAAGAAAAAAATAATAAATTGGTCACTCAATCCACGACTGTTTGTGGGACACTGCTGAGAACAATTGACTGCCGCGTTTCGCTCATAAATAAACAGTCAATTCACTTTACAGTACGGGAACGCTCAGCAGGTCAGGCAGCATCTATGGAAAAAGGAAAGTGAGTCAATGTTTCGGGTCCACAACCTTTCGTTAGAACTGTGGCATGTTGGGAGGGAGAGGCTTTTAAGGGCTAACAGAGGGGGAAGACAGGGCAAGGAAGACAAAGGAAAAAATGGGGTGGAGGACAGGGGATGATGGATTAAAGAGGTGCTAATGGTGCAAAACAGGGAGGAAATATCAAATGCAAGGATTATTATTATTAGTAGTAGTAGTTATTATTAGTGAGCGAATAGTGAACCTGTAGAACTGGCTCCCTAGGGAGATGGTTGAAGGAGGAAGTGTTGATTCTTTCAGACACAGATTAGATAATTTTCTTTTTGGAAATAACATTATGGGGTATAATACATAGGCATTTTGGAACATATGTGCATGCGACCGCCAGGAAGGTGGAAGGCGAACTAGATGGACCTTGATCTTTTTCTGTCTAGCATTTCTTATGTTCTCATGTAAAAGTGCTACCAACTGAGCCAATGTGTTTAGCTTGGTTACAGGGTATTCACAGTCAAGATTCTTCCTTGTGCGTTGATTGAATGGAAGCCAATGGGATTGATGTGTGCCATTGCTTTATTATTGAAACAACTTAAATTAAGAAAAAAATTAAATGTTTTTGATATCACTGAAAAAGTACATTAAAGAACCAGAAAGATTCAGTCGCTTGAAATGCAGCTAAAAGACTCTCAAGAGGAGATTGAATCAACAGAAAAAGAAAAGAAATGTTCCACAACTGTGTTTAAATACAGTAATAGGCAATTAGCACATTTACTGAACCAACCACAGGCACTGCTTGAACATTCCCATCTTGATTGGTAAACTTAAATTTTTGAACAGATTATCCAAGTTCGATCTGAACTGTGATAATTGAAAGAGAATTGTTTCACATGAAATAGATTCGCAACGTATATAAGAGGATTAAATCCAATCACTGCCACTTGCAAATATCTGATTCAGTATCTCTCCCCTTGGAAATGGGATTTGAGAGGCTCCGAAGGATTGTAACAAAGGGGTCTAATGTGCGATATCTGTAAAAGGGATGGGAAGTGCAAATTGTCTGCTCTGAATGCCAGCAGCGCACCAAAAATAAACAGAGAGCAAAACGCTATCTCCTTACTGATGTCCCTTTTCCTCGCACCATGGCTGCTTCTGAAGATTGCTGACCAAATATAAAAATGAAGAAAATAACCACCTGTAGACTTCCATTTAAAACATGCAGTCAATATTCAATTTACTCATGTCCCCACCCTACCCGCCCCATCATCAACTCAGGTGACAAGCTTTCAGCCTTTCCGCCCCCAAACTCCATCCTAGAATTCCTCCAACTCTCGTCTTCCCTGAGCTCGTTCAAGGTCCATCGCAAGACCGAACTCTCTGACCGTGCTTTCGGTCATCTTTCCCCTCCCACCCCTCAACTCCTACCCCTGGCTTGGGTGCTCAGTCAGGATTATTGAGGACCTTGGGTCGTCCTCCTGACATGAAAGGCGCTGTAATAAATGTAAATTTGTACTGTATTGTATTTATATTCAATATTACTGACCTGTGGCCAATTGCTAATCTGTAAAACGTGTGAAATTAAAACTAGATTCTGTTTTTAACTACAGTATAAAGGAAGAAATGCTGCGCTGGGGATGATAATAATAGTAAAACCGGCCTCTTTACTTTCGATTGGAGGGCAGATTGCTGAATAAAGATTACACTTGGATGCTTTTGAATGTGAATGTTGGTTGGTATTCAAGCTCTGTGGTTTGAGAAAGCAGAGGTGAGAATTGTCTGCCAATGTGTTGATTGCTCCCTGTTGCTCCACATCCTGGGCTCAGACCTGGGAGTCAGAAACCATTCATTCATCCCCTTCCAGTCTGGAGAAACAGGACACAACTTTAACAGTGGAAAACTGGATAGCAAACGTTTTGCAGGAGAAATGAACTCTTTAGCAGTTATTGGGTAAGTCTATTTCAATTTTGATCATTCTGTTAAAACAGTGCACATACAGTCAGTGTTTGACAACTAATCACTTTGACCCCTTTCTTTGCAGATTCCTTTTAATGTCGCTGGTCCCTCTTAAGGCTGTGGAGCTTAGGAATAGTAAGTGATTGCCATTAATTGTACTGTGATACAAAGCTTGGGTTAGAAAAGAATTCCCTTCCATCTTAACAATTTGCGTGGCATTCTGTTTTGTCTGTTTCAGACTGCGAAGGTGAGGATTGTGAAGATTGGGAAATTGCAAAACCTTCCAGCCAGAAACCTTTGGAAATAAGTCGTGATTCTTTAACTAAATTTCATCTGATCAACAGCCAATCTCACGAACCTAGAACATTGGATCTTTCAAAGAAGATTCCCTTCTTAGGACTGACGGAAAGTAAGTTAATAATAATAATCCTTACATGATACAGCGCCTTTCACTTTGGGAGGATGTCCGAAAGTGCTTCACAGGATATACTGTAAAGTGGAGTGACTGACTTCTGTGAGCATACGCAGCAGGCAATTTGCACACAGTAATGTCCCACAAACATTGATAGACTTTTGATAGGTCAGGGTATTAAGGGATATGGGGAGAAAGCAGGAAATTGGAACTGAAAGGATTAATTGAGGTACAGATCACTCATGATCTAATTAAATGGCGGAACAGGCTCGAAGGGCTGAACGGCGTCCTCCTGTTCCTATGTTCCAAACAGCCATGAAATGAATGGCCAATTTTATTTGGGGAATTGTTGATGAGGATATCAGAAGAAACTTGCTTCTCTTTTCAAATAGTGCTATGGGATCTTTAATGTCCACTTGAGAAGCAGACAAGACCTTGCTTAATGTTCCATTTGAAGGGCAGCACCTTTGATAATGCAGCACTCCCTTAGCTTTGCATTGCCTAGACTAAGTGAGTTCAAGTGCAGACAGGGGAAGTTATAGGCTGATTATTCACAGATCTAAACTTGGCCTCTGCTACTTTTCCAATATATTAGAGCATAGCAGTTAACATCAGCAAAATGTCAGTGAAATGTATGAACCAAAAAAGTAAGACAAATTGTAAATCCATTTCTATATTTCAAATTTGAATTATTTTTCACAGTGAGATATGTTTTTAGCATCGAGAAGTTTAGTATTGCAATCAAGGCTGATAGTGCAGGCCACCACCAAAAGAAATAGCGACAATACAAATCAATTGAGAAGCAAATACAATAGATGGTTTCAGTGTTTCACAGGATTTATTGCAAAGTGTAGTCACTGTATTTGTAGGCAAGCATGGCATTGGTTTGGAGTGTCAGCGAGGTGGAGCTTGAACTCACAACTGAATAATAATAATAATCCTTGCATTTGAAAAAGCTCTTTTCACGTCTTCTAGACGTGAAAAAGGGCTTCACAGAATATACTGTAAAGTGAATTGACTGTATATTTGTGGGCAAAACGCGGCAACCAATTGCGCACAGTAGTGTCCCACAAACAGTCGTGGATTGAAAATGACCAATTTATTATTGTTTTGTTTTTGGAGGGATTATTATTAGGCGTGTGGAGTAAGGAAACTTGCCCAAGGTTTTGCCCTGCCTGGAATTGAACCCAGGTGTCTCGCTTGCAAGGACGAGTGCTCTAACCTCTGAGCTACAGGACTCCTGTCTGATGCCTCAAAAATGAGCTTCACTGACATCAAACGCGAGGATTATTATAGTATCAGATACTGGAGGGTTCTCTAAAGCCATACTTCAGCAGGTTACAATGTATTCAAGTGACAGGTTGTGAAAAAAAGGAACGGGAAAAAGAAGGTACATGTCATAATAAAGAAGTGGCACAGTCTGCGATTCCAAAATAGATAAAACTCTTAAAACATTGGTACGCATGACTTAATATGCATTGATAATATTATATAGTAACTGTACTGTTCTCAGGTCGAACATTGGACAAGAACTGCTGCATGAACAGTGGGATTTGCATCCTGGGCAGTTTCTGTGCATGTCCTCCGCACTTCACTGGCAGATATTGTGAATTGGATGAACGGCTAAAGTGAGTAGATGCAATTTGTTTCATTTTGTTTCAGGGCCTCATTCAAATTGCATTATCCTTTGGTAATTTGAACGAGGCCCAACTCTCGGTTTCTGTTCTCTGACAGGACGTGTGGCACAATTCTCCATGGCGCATGGGTTATCAGGAGCTGTTCCTGGTGTAAATGCAGATATGGGCGTCTGCACTGCATTGACGCATTTAAGGAGATGGAAAACTGTGGTAAGTGTTGGTTCATTTTATCTTCTGTTGAAAATGGGGAATCGTGCAATGTGGTGGTGAACTGAACCATAAAAGAATTGCATTCTGTGAAGCGCTTTGGGACGTCTAGAAGACGTGAAAAGAGCTATATCAAGTGCAAGGATTATTATTATTATTATTATTATTGCGCCTCATCACATTGAAGTGTCTTCCCAAGGCAAGGTTTTGTACAGAGAGCATTGGGTGGCATTCTCTTCAACAAATGTTTAAAAAGTAAAGATGGGAGGACATCACCTGATGGTTCGTAAAGGTGCTCCTGCTGCAAAATACAGAGCTCCCTGTTGTCAACCAAAGTGTGTATGCTATCATGTGAAGTGCGCAGAGTGGCTTCATGTCCTTTCACTCTAGGTGCCGACTCTGCAATCTGGAGGCCTGACCACTAAAAAAGATTCAGGGTCTTTTGCCGGTGCAAAATTGGTCTGCTGACCACTAAGTGTGCCAATGGAGACAGGGCTGCTTCTGGAGACGACCTCCTAATGTAATAGGTGGCATTAGATTCCATTGTAAAGTGCTAAATCCTGTCATGCAAGTTTTAGCTTGCAAGAAAACCATTTGCATCACTGAATGCAAACACCTGAACTTTGATCATTTCTCTTCCAGGCTAAAGAATTTACATACAAAAGTCCAGAAGTACTTCCCATTATTCTGCCAAATGTGTTCCCATCCCCTAACTCTGATTGATACAGTCTTGATGGCTCCTATTTGCAATTCTTTCTGCCAGGAATGTATTGAAGTTTCACACCTGATAGCTACAGTCTGGTTTAGCTCACTCAAAACATGTTTTATTTCCCCTTTTAAAACTTCACATTTCAGCAGTGATAAACCTTGTCTGATTTCTTTTCCACCTCAGGTCCAGACCAGAATGACCGCAATGATAACAGTGGCCTTTATAAATCATTATCTGATGATGGTTGCTGGCGAAAACAAACAAGATACCTGCTTCTGTCGGTGATGCTTCTTTGGCACAGTGTTTGCACTATGGTTTTGTAATGGTTTTCATTTCACCCTAACATTTTCTCACTGCTTCTCCTGAAAGTGCTGATGTTTGCTGAATTACAGTTCTATGGGCACTGGCTGCCCTCTGCTGCTTTTCCCAAATGACCAATATTTATACGTGAACCCCGACAACGAGAATCTGCAGACTATTCACTGATAGATGAATCCTCCTCCGATCCTCTGCTCACACATCAACGTTTTAGCAGGGGTCATTGGATAGCGATCAGAAGTCCTGAAATTTTACTTGGTCTTAGCCTTCAACACCTTCTTATTAATTTAAAAATTGTGCAGGGCTTCCTTGATCTCTTAAATCTTAAATTTATCTTTAATTTGGAAGCTGGTTCAGCAGTTCTTATAAAGAACTGACTTTCAAATTAAGGCAGGATTGAAGAGTTTTTAAAGAATTCTGTGCAATCTTAAAGTTTAAGACAAAATTGACCTGGCTGGAAAGCATGCAATGGTAATAGTTAGGGCTGTAGATCTGTCACTGCATTTTTTAAAATCTAAAATCATGGAGCAGTCATGGTAAATTTAGTAAAAGTCACAGGTTTAGGAGGAAATAATAATAATAATAATAATAATCCTTGCATTTGATATAGCGCTTTTTACGTTGGGAGGACGTCCCAAAGCGCTTCATAGAACACACTGTAAAGTGAATTGACTGTATATTTGTGGGTGAACGCGGCAGCCAATTGCGCACAGCAATGTCCCACAAACAGTCGTAGATTGAAAATGATGAATTTATTATTGTTTTTGGTTTTGGAGGGATTATTATTAGGCGTGTGAAGTAAGGAAACTTGCCCAAGGTTTCGCCCTGTCTGGAATTGAACTCGGGTCTCTCGCTTGCAAAGCGAGTGCTCTAACCACTGAGCTACAGGGTAAAGTCACGACATGAAAATTCAACTCTATAAATACAGTGTTAGGGTACTTACAATGGTGCTAAGGAAGGCAGCTGAGCTGGTCAAACATAAATTATGCAACACTTTTTTTAATACGTTCCATAATTTGCGCAAATATTAGAAACGTGTTTCTCAAGTAGTCAAGCTCAGTGCATTTTATTAAAATCCCAGGCACAAAACAAATCACGATCAACCAGAAAAATAGTATCAGTGACATTTTTACTACTGTGACACAAAATCCTAGTGTTAGCCAAACAGGAGTCTGGGAACCATTAAGGGGGGAAGAAGGGGGTGAGGGATCCCCGAGTCTGTTTGATCACTGTCCCACGAAGGAAGGTTAAGAAATCAGCTAACTAGGGAATTAACCAGCTCCCATGTGTGCTTTCCAGCAGAGGTCACTGATCATAAAATCCCTGACTTATTTTTCCATCCATGTCCTACAAGCTGAGTTAGTTCTGCAGCATACTTTTTAGCACCACTTGAAACATAATCATTGTCACAAACTTCAAAGCATAGTTCTCAGTGATTCATTTTCTATTATAGTCAAGTGTCTAATTGTTTAATCCAAAATCATATTTATAATATTATTCAGAAAGAGCATGAAGCCTGGTTAAAGGGTTGACGTTTATTATAATCTCCCCTCATCTTTTTAGAAATGATAAAAGGCTTTGTAAAATTGTAACCTGAAATTATTCCTGACCTTAACTTGTATAAAATAGCAAGCACACTTCACACAATAGCAAGCATGTTTTATAATTTCAATTTCTGATTTCATGTTTTGAAATCGACAGTGTAACATTGAAATATTTTAGTAAATAAATAAATAACATGCTTGTTCTAGTGCTGTTATTGTACTTTAAATGTAAGTCTTGGATGTGATTTTTTAGGAGAATAGTGATCTTGACTGATCTTCTATTCTCCAGTCCAAAATGTTGAGGTGACCCAGTTGTTGGTTGGAATTGGATCCTGCAACCTTCCTATGACCTAGTCCTTCACCACATGGTGCCTCTTTCCTACCAAGCTATTGGGGCCGTAATAATAATGGTGATAATAATAATCCTTGCATTTGATGTAGCGCTTTATCGCATCGTTGCAACGTCTCAAAGAGCTTCACAGAATATTTTGTGAAGTGAATTGACGGTGTATTTTGTGGGCGAGACACATGTAGGATGTTTTTGAGGGAGTTTTGTCTCTTTATGCTGTAGGGCTGAATGGTTACATTCAACTATTAGCAGCTTTTGTGGCCATTCATCATTCTTCACTAGATGATCTCCAAAAATATAATTATAAAGATACACGATTAAGGCTTCACTCACTCAACCACATAACTCCATTTGGAATGAATATTGCTGCGTGTTGTGTAAGATTACTTGCATTGCCATTAATAAGGATTGATATACACAGAAAACACAGAATCTGCCAATATCATTGCTGTGCTCCCCATGTGAATGACTCCATATAAATGCATGTTGCTGCTGAGTAAAACTTTTGTATTGGGGTGAGAAACCTTCAATTTACACAAGTGCTTGGTTGACACTGATGCATTGTGACTGGTACCATCTTGGACATTGAGAACATATCAACTTCCATCAGTTATAACATCTATACTATACTATGTCAACCTGAAAAAGAAATAATTTGGTACTTGCCTCCAAATTCTGCACCACACAGCTGGATTAACTAATGTTGACATTATTAACACATTCAATTGACTTATTCGGACAATTAAAATGTCCTAAGATATGCTATGGTGTCAGGTTTGGCTCAGGTGATAGCTTGCTTATCTCAATGGCAGTAAATTCTGGGTTCATCAACACCTGAGCTAGGCTAGGCTTACCATATGGTGCTCTCATTTACTATCCTTCAGATAAGATAATTAATTCATACCGTGTCTCCTTGTCCTTCAAGTAGACATTATAATATTTTATGAAAATATTTGAAAAGAGAAGGAAGTTTTTCTCAAGTCCTGTCCAACAGTCTTAGAAGATTCATTTTTCATTCACCTCATGGTTGTTTTGGAGAACTTGCTGTGTGCAATTTGGATTCAATAACAGCCAATATTTAACACATGATATGTCAGCGTACTCAGTTGGTAACACTCGCCTCTGAGTCAGAAGGTTGTGGGTTCAAGCCCTGCATTAGGTCTTTGAATTTATATTGTCTTGGGTTCACTCCATCACAGTGCTGGGGGTGTGCTGCCTTGTCTGAACTGTCAACCGTCAGATGAGACATTGAACCAGGATTCCATCTGCCTGTTCAGGTGGATGTTAAAGATCCCATGGGACTATTCCAAAAGAGAAGAGAGTTTCTTTCCGTGTCCAGACCAACAATCTCCCAAATAAAATTGATCATTTGCTTCATGGCTGTTTGTGGGACATTACTGTCTCTTGTTGGTTTCAATTCAAGAGCTCACTTTAACAATGTCCTATTAGACATGTTCAGCACTGAGTAGTTTCAGGCGCTAGTACTAGGACGTTAAAGGTCCAGCACACTGGAGTGTAAAATGCAGCTTCAGGCACGTTTTTACTGCTCACCTTAATATAACCTCTTATGTATTCACAATACAGGTCCACTTGTATTATAGTGATGCTGTGTTTGGCAATAACAATGCACTGTCCTTTTGGAAACAGTCCATAAACACAGTTGTTTATTTAATGATACATGGTTCAATCATTCAATCACACACAGGGAATTATTCAAGCTTGAGTCTTTAGCACCGGCTTCAGGCATAGCTGCGTGATATTTCAGTAATTTTAAAAAAAATTCTGATTCTAATGACTGCAAAGCCCCCAAAAAATGTTTGTGAGAAAAAAATAAAATAACCTTGGTGACCATTTAGCTGAGATCAATGCCAGTAAGAATACAATAAAATTCTGTGAAGCACTTGAGATGTTTCAACAACGTGATAAGGCTCTATATATAAAATGCAGAGATTATTATTAGAGTTGCTGAAAATTGGGTTACAGATTGGGTGCCAATTTTTAAAAGTGCCTTCAACTTTAGATTGCAAAGACATCTTACCTCTGAGATGTCACAAGTTACCACTTTCAGCACTGTTTATTGTTTCATGACTCACATGAGAAAATTAATGCCAGCTCTGTACAGTCTTAACTGCAGACAGCTGGGATTCTGAACACCTGAGAAAGCAGTGAGAATGTGGAATACTGTGCATCATATGGCCTTAGATGCAAAAACAATTGAGATTTTTAAAGGAGACAGATACACGGAGTGCGGGTATTAAGGGGAATGAAGAAAAGCTGGGGAAACAAGATTAAAAGATCTGCCATGATCTATATTGCAACTTCATAGGAACAGGAGAAGACCATTCAACCCATCAGGTCTATATTGCTATGAAAGGCAACGTGAAAGGCACTGTACCAAATGTAAGGATTATTTATATTCAAAATAAACCTTGTATTTCATATCGTGCCTTTAATGTCAAAAACTCAAAGAGCTCACAAAGCTTTCCTATAAAATATGTTTGTATTTCAAGAGAACATGGCAGCAAAGCAATGTCTCTCAAAACCCATCAAGTAATTGACCAATTTTATCTGAAGGAATGTTAACCAGTTTTCTGTCATTTTTAAAATAACTTAAAAGACAATTGGCTTCAAAATTAAGCTTGCATTTAACAATTTGCCAAATTCTAGATGCTCCAAAATGTTACATAAAGTAGACGCTAGTGGAATTTCTTATTTCTCCTGACTACTCACTAAACTTGACAGCAATTATCCATGAAGTGTTCTCAGATGTTTCAGTGCTATAACAAAGATGTAAGGCTTTTTTGGTAGTGGAGATCACAAAATTACACTTTTAATGGGAACACTACCCTGCATAAAGGGCGCTATATAAATGCAAGTTGTTGTTCTTGTTTAATGATGTTGCCATAACCGCCCACCCTCTCACACCTGATGTGTGGAGGCTGCGGACACACAAGCTGACAGCAGCCCAGGAGTTTGCTATCACTGACCTTGCCGGTGGAGTTATAATAGAATAATAAGCAGCAAATGCCTATTGTCAGCTTTTAATTTACATTCCTCTAGTGTTTCTTTCACAAAGAGCTGATATTATCTGATGCACACTCAGGGAGTAAAGTTAAATGTAACCTTAGTCGAAAGTCTCAGGTATCTGCCAAAGCCTTTGTTATGTGGGGTTATTTGAATTCAACAGTCAATGCCTAGCGAGGACATCTTTAACATACAAGCACACAGCTATTTCCTCCGAATTATGCTTTTCAGTGGAAAAAGCAATTAGTGGCCGATGGGGGGGGGGGGGGGTGTTGGGCGGTTGGTGGTTTCTGCATACCCAAAACAAAGGTCTCCCTCATTTATTCTTGGAAGGGAATTCTTCCTGCTCAATTCAACATGAAACAGGGCAGTGATTCAAAGGAAATTACTGTGAGGTTATTTGCAAAAACATTTTTTTTTGTTGAGAGTCTGGGATGATGAGGAACCAAGTCTCATTGTGTCAGAACTAAGGCAGAGAATATTAATAATAATAAATATTTGTATTTGATATAAAAATATCAACCTCTTGCAAAAGGTAGCTATTTTAAGATGCTCAAATATATTAAGTAAGATCCATTCATATGTAATCTGGAGGTGTTATTGGCCCATCTGATCTATCAGAGAAAACCATCAAGAAATTACCTCTACAAAGTGATTTAAGATAATAACATAATAATA